ACGTTTTAAGTTTGAGGTTATAAAAGACAACCATACAAGCATGTCTTGGGCCAGGCATAGTGCTGCACACCTGTGATCTCAGCACTCATAAGGCTGAGGCAGAAATACCACTACAAGCTCAAGACCAGCCAGAGCTACAAATAAGTTCACCGTCAGCCTGAATGCCGGAACTAATAAGACTCTATCTCCAAAAACAAAACAAAACAGAAAAATTTCTTTGTGCTAATCATTGACAATATAAATTTGATAATCCATGATGTGTGATACATACCTCAGTTTAAAAAAAAAAAGCATTTGCTATGGTTGATACATTGTGTCAACTTGAGAAGTTTAGAAATTTTAAAAGAATCAGGAGGGAGCCAGGATCCTTTCTTTGGAAATATCCTCAGCCTGTACAAGAGGAGGGCACACATCACTTCTCAGCCTTTTGGCTAAGATCAAGTGAAGAGGAGGGCACAGAGGTAGTGTGAGTGCTATACCAGCTTTTTTACTCTATTTACTCTGGCTGCTTTTGCTGGTTGCTGCCTTGAAGTGTTACCCCTGTGCCATGCCACCCTGCCTTGGAGCCAGCTGGTTATGCACTGAAACCTCCACAAACTGTAAGCTAAATAAGTATTTCCTTCCTTCATTTTGGGTGTCAGGTATTTTGTCCCAGCAATGAGAGAAAAGTAACCATCACTGAAACCAGGCATGAGTGGTACATGCCTATAATCCCAGCACTCAGGAGGCTGAGGTAGGAGGATTACTGCATAGCCTAAACTATGTAGTGGAGACCCTGTCACAAAAACAAAAAACAAAATAGAAAGATTTTTTTAAAAACAGATCTTGAGAAGAACATTGCATTTATGTTAGTAAACCTAAATATGCAGCATCTTATACTGAAGTGGTCTGAAAGAACCAAATGCTTCTTTTCAAATCAGAAAAGTATATTTAAAGACCAAGGATTTTTTTTGCAATTTATCTCAGTGTTCCCCCAGCAAGTTTTATACGTTGCTCTCCCTACGATAAGTGCCAAAAAAGTAATGAGAATTACTTTAATACCAAAAATATAACATGAAATGATTTGAACATCAAATGCAAAAGTAGCAATAAAATATATTGTTATAAAATCATGTGAAAATGTCCTGCAGTATTACTTGCCTTAGTTACCTTTGTGTTTTGTGATGCATTTATCTTTTGTTAACATCCAGAACTAAAAACCATATTAGTAAGTGTATTGCTTACTTCTTTACTCCAAGAACTCATAAAATAGCAGCTATCTGCCTAAGTTGTTCTCTGTCAGGTAATAATAAACAATTCGGACAGTGATCAAAGCCAGTAATGGTTCATTCATTTCATCTTTACCTTGCTAGATGGCACATCTGCTTGTGTGGGATAAGTGCCAGGGTTTAATGCAGCTGCTGTGAACAGCAGATTGATGACAGCTCTGTTGAGTGGTACAGGTTGCTCCTTAGGTGGTCTCTTTTTTCCCTCTACTTTCAGACTGGTAGGAAGGACTGCGCTCTTCCTATAGTGTTGAAATTTTATCATACTAAATGTACCTACTAGAGTTAGTAATAAATATAAAAACCACCAGTAGAATTTATTCTTCCTGGTTTTATAAGTATTCTTTTTCTAGAGTTTATAAACAAAGCAAAGTTAAGTTAAATTGATTCGCCATACATCATTTTCTGCTCCAAAATCAATCAAAATAAATTTAAGCAATAAATTTGGCAGTGCTTTTTTAAGTAATAGAGAATTTGTATCTGGCCTTCTCAGACTCTCACAACTTCCATGTAACTATTGTACTTGATTTCTGTTCTCTAACATAGGGCCCATGCCTAGCAGAGATCTTGTTCTCCCTCTGCCCGGAAGGTCCTTTCCCACTTTTCCCACTTTTTGGATAGCTTTCAGTCACCAGATCTCACCTGGCACTGTCTCATCAAGAGACCTACTCCCAGCAAACCTGCCTAACAGGCACCCTCAACAGCCATGCCCCAGCCCGCTTCACACAGCAGCACTGTTTGAAGTCACCTTGTTTACTTGTTTATTATCTCTGGCCCATTGGAATGCAATTGCAGACAGAGGGGGCATGGTCTGTCCTTCACCATTGTTTTCTCTAGCCAGGGGATTTAGCTCAGCGGCATAAAGGCCTGCCCTGCAAGCTCGCAGTCCTGAGTTCGATTCCCAATACAAAAAAAAAAAAAAAAATTGAGTTACCATTGTTTTCCCTGCACCTAGAAGAGTGCTGTGGCCACATACTAATTGCTTAGTACCTTGTCATGGGTCAGTGTCACAGCCAGTTTAGAAGGTAGCTTAGGAGACTGGAGACTTTTGGCCCAAGTCTGTAGGCAAAAATGTGTATGCTTACTGCTGTTTCAGATGAAAAATGTTACTACAGAACTGTACACACAGCACTGTTGTCTTCAGAGCACATCAGAACCTGCTATCGCCTTCTCCATGATCCAAACTGAAGTGTTGCAGGGGAAACTCATCTGCCACAAAACCCTTTGCACAGACTTCAGGACCCAGGCCCTTCCCGTGCTACACTCCACACCAAAGTGAAAACGAGCTCCTAAGGATTTCTTACTTGAATGAGCTCATCTTATTTGTACTTTCTTTTATTTATAATGTTTTGACAGATTATAAAGATTATAACTAAAATGTCTTATACAGAGAAAGATAAGTTTTGGACTTTATAACAATTTATAATTAGAATTCTATGGATAACATTTGTTTTTAATTCTTTATTTTAAAATTTTAATCATTTACACAATAAACTTTGACAAACCTTCTAAAACAATCTAACAAAAAAGGGGGGCAGGGAATCATTATCAATGCTAGGAAATAGAGCAGATACTGACCCAGAGCCTGCGATAACAAAAAGGTAAAAGTAGAATACGTGAACAGCCAGTTCATATGTGCCAGTAAGTTTGATAGTGGGGATGAAATGGACATTAAAAACAATCCTAGTGAGAGTTGAGACCTAAGTCTGAATAATCTTTGTCAGAGGAATCAGACTGACTTTTTAAAACTTTCCTGAAAAGAAATGTTGACATTAGATGGTTGTACTGGTGAAATCTGTTGAGCATTTTAAGAAAGAGATCCTGACAGATCCCTATAAACCCTTTCAAAAAATACAAGACAAAGGAATATTTCCTTCTCATATGTTGAGACCAGCTTGCCATAACATCTAAAACCTGGCAAAAGACTTGAAAAGTAAAGTAAAGTAAACCAGTTTTCCTCTTGAACAATTCAGCAAGACTCAGCTTTAAAATAAGAACACACTAGTGATACTGCTCAGTGGCCAGACTCCCCTGAGTTCAACCCTTGATGCCAAAGTGTATAGGTACGTTCTCATTTATATCCAAGTGAGATTTAGCCAAAGAATACTAAATGATCTTAGTGGTTGAAAACCAGTCAGTGTGATCTATGTTACTGCCATGATAAAGGAAAAACCACTATGATCATGTTAATCTAGTCCAAGCATTCAACAAAATAAACCAATTCTTAAAATTCAGCAGAGCAGAAATAGAAGAGAATTTCTTCAGTCAGCTAAAGAGCATTTGCAGAAATGTAAAGGAGACGGGGGGGAGGGGGTGCTTAGCACGCATGAGGCCCAGATTCATCTGCAGCACCACCAGAAAAAGAACAAAGGTGACATCATGCTGCAGTTTAGATTAGCAACAAGTAAATAAATAAATGACAGTCCAACCATAAGAGTATCATAAAGCTTAATAAGTAGAACTACTGATACGCAAACAGCATGCGTGCATCTCAAAACCTCTACACTGAGTGAAAGAAAGTGAACAATATGTGGTGTATGGTTTCATTTATCTGAATTTCTAAACCAGCTGAAACTAGTGAAAAAAATCAGAACTGCTTCCATGGGAAGGCAGAGAGAAAGGATAGACCGGAAGGAGAGACAAAGAAATGACCAAAATCACATGGCTAAGATTATAAATCTGATGTGTGGCATTTTTGTCTAGATTGTAAATAACAAAGGGAAATGTAAAGGGTAGAAATAATACATGAACCAACAGTGATGAACATACCAATAATCACTGAAGCTGAATAATGATTTCGTGTGGCTTGAATTCTATTCACTTCATGATTGAAATCTGCATAATAAGACTTTGAAAAAGAGGCAGGGCAGTAAGAAAGGGAGAAATGTTTGTGTGTTGAACTTGGTACTGTATATCATTGAGCTGTCAGCTTCAAAAATAAAAGGTAGAACAAGTAGAAAGCTTTCTGATTTCTCCCTAAACTAAGTGATGAGGAGCGGTGAAAACTGGGCGAGGGATTTAGAGGCCTGACGATAAGCCATTTACCCAACATGGGCGTAATAAAAGTAGCTAAATGTGTGAAAAAATTTGGTTTAATTGCAGCAGTTTTCAAACTTTTAACAAATCACCTGCAGGAAAAATAGGGGAAGATTTGTCTCCTGATTAAATTCATATTTTGAGGTTTTTATCTATATCCGATGATTCTTTTTTTTTTAATTTGCTTTCCATATGAAGATTGGTACAAATGACTCTGAAAGGTAGGTAGGTTTTTTAATGTATTCAATTTCAAAGTACTAGGATCAATTTTATAATTAATAGAAATGTAAGTCTTAAAATTATTTTAATGTATTATAAATGCATAAAAGAAAAAACATGTATAAATATAAATAAGTTTTCATGTACAGTATACTATACTTAGAATGTAGTCATTATCAGTGACATAAAAAGTAGTTATGAATAAAAATTCTCTTGATAGGATCACCATGACTTTATTTTTAGACTACTCCTTTTAGAACATATATTTATTGAGTAAACTAGTTTTCCTAGGAGAAAATTGTAAACAGAGTTAATACTTTTCTTATCTGTTCTCTCCTTTGATTCTTACACAGCCTAAGAAAAGTGTTTCATACATAACAAATTAGTCTATATTTTGTAATAATAACTTAGCATCTGTTTTCAGGTTATTTTGAAAATCCAGTAGCCCCACATACAAACTCATGCTTTCAATCTTTTTAGCTACAGAAGATCATAAGTAAACAAGATGACTTCAAGATAATGAAAACTAATGAGACAGAGTGTCAGGTATGTACACATGAACCGAGTCTTTCCTAACATATTTTCAGTATCTGCTCTGTTAATTTGTTCAACTAAGTATTCTCAGATAGTTGATCAGCTTCGTTACTGACTTCATATTTTAAATAGATGGATCATATTCACAGGGTCCTGACTCCAAAGGGCACACAAGAGTAGGCAGACAGAGTAAAATATTCCCCTCTAGTCCCTGTCTTCTCCCCAGCCGTACATGCTATCAGTTTGTTGTGTGTTCTTTCAGACAGAGATCTTGTGAATGTGTAAGCGTATTTGTAAAGAAGCACATCTCTATATTCTGTTTTCCATTTTTATGTAAGTAGTAGTATACTATATATTACTTTTCTATTTCCCCTTAACAAATCAGAATGTCATGCTTTTTAATGGTTCCATAGTACTTTGTTTATAGAGACAACAATTTATGTAAACATTACCCTTTTGAAAGCTACTTAACATGTAGCTATCTGTTTTGAGTGGGTGGGGAAGTGTTTGAGACAGAGTCAAGGTCTCATTGCTGTGTAGCCCAGATTGGTTTCAAACTTGTGGCAGTCTTCCTGCAGCCACCCAAATGCTGGGATTATAGGCATGCACCTAGCCATATGTCCATGTCTTCATAGTACAGTTAATGTTGCAATGAGTAATCTTGTATTTATACCATGTTATAGAGTGATAAAAATATAAGGTGAAGGTTTTAAAATTTTTTTAATTTATTACAGTAAAAGACACATTGCCATGAATATTCCCTATCAAGTCAGACACATTTGCCCCCTTGTTCTTACTTCTTTTTTTTGGTACTGGGGATTGAACTCACAGCCTTGTGTTTGCCAACAGGTGCTTATGCCACTGAGCTAAATCCTGGCCCTGTTCTTACCATTTTATAAAGCAGTTCTGAAATTCCTCTTTCATGAGTGTCTTTATAAGGTATATTCAAAACCATAGTGAACGGTGCTACTGTGTGCCATCCAGTGGAAAGCGGGCTTGTGAAAACGTGGCACTGTGTCCTCATTGACCTTATGCACTGGGTCTGGTTCCGTGTGGCTTCTGGCTCTTCCTCAAAGTAAAAATGACCCTGAGAGGGACACGCTTTGAATCAGCTCAGGACACCAAAGCAGCACCAGCTCCCCTCATCAGACACTCTTTATCCATCGAGCTGGTTGCCATTTGCTGCTGTGCCACGCAGCACAGCTGATAGAGCCCCTGAGCACCAGTCTGATGCTCTGGTCCAGGGACCCTCCTTTTGTGTCTGCTGCCAGGAAGCCGAGTCTGGGATGGCCCACCCTTCTGACTACTCAGGTTCTTAGTCCCTCTGCTCTGGCTCATTGCTTTCTGGAGAGAGGATTTGTCTACCACATTCATTGGGATGGGAGGTCAGAGGCAGTTGTCATATTTTTCGTGGCCAGTAAGGTTAGATTGCCTTTTAATAAACACGGTTAGTAAGTTCCCAAAACAAATAGTTTAAGTAAGCCACATGTTTAATATTAATGTAAAATTTTCCCTTTAAACATGAATTTCACACCAAAAAGTAAAAGTTAATAATTTTAAGAATCTACATGAAGAAAACTATAAACTAATTTTTATTGAGGAATATAAGATTGAAATAAACGTGAAGACAGGCTTTATTTTTAGGAATAGTAAGCATCGTGAAGAGGTCAGTTCCCATTAAATTATTCTGAGTTCAGTGTGATCCAAGTCCAAACTCAGAGTGTTCTTTGGTTATATTTTGGGGACATTTTAGGCAAAGAGTGCCCAAGGAAGCGGTGGGTGTGGACAAGTGGAGTACTGAACCTAGGCAGAGTCCATCTAAAGTTCCCCTAGAATAAACACAAGAGAGTAACCAGCAAGACTCTGAACAAGGTCTCCCAAGCAGTGAGAGGGATGACACAGATAGAGTGGTATCGTGAGAAACCCGGCAGCCAAAAGGAGACCCAAACCCCAGGGCTATTAGTGTATAAGGAAGGAAGCAGTTTAAGTCGGTGGGAGGACACTGTCAGATTCCTTGTTAGTAATCCCGAAACCTAGGCGTCCTAGGTGTGACCTTTCACTCCTCACACAGTTAGTTATCCTGTCTCTTGTGCCTCTACATGGTTGTTTCCATTGTCACTTGAGGAACTCCCTGTCATTTTTCATTTGAATCACAGTATTGGCCCCTGACTTCCCAGCATCCACTCTTTCTATTTATTTGTCACATTGTATCCAGAGGCGCCATAAGCACAAATGCAATATAATTACTCTCCTTAAAATTGTCCCACAGAATATTATACAGTGCATACATGTATCAAAACATTATATGGCATCCATAAGTATGTGTAATTTTGAGTCAGTCAATAAGTAAAAAATGATAAAATAAGTTGTAAACGCGTAATTAAGATTTTTTTCACATTTCCTTTTGTACTTGGCATAAATTCAGAAACCCTCATAAACCTGTGTCACCTGGCCATGGCTCTCCCTCAGCTTCCTGCTGCACTTTTATCTGCAGCAGAACGAGGTGGTTAAGAACTCAAGACTCAGAAGCAGATTGCCTACATCCTAGCACTGCTTTCGTCATTTAACAGTTGTGTGACCTTAGGTACACCTCTCTACCCATCTGCCGCAAGGGGTTAAAAGTGTTGCTGTGTTGCAGTCTCCTTGGACTGTGCTTAGTACTTTAGAAGTATCTAAATAAGTAAGTATCTGCTCCTGTAGTCACAGTAGTCTGGAAGGCTGAGGTAGGAGGATCACAAGTTTTAGCCCAGTCTGCGCAGTTTAGCAATTTAACAAAATGCTGTCTCAAAATTTAAAAAAAAAAAAAAAGCCTAGGGCCAGGGACTTAGCAGCACAGCATGCGCCAACGTGAGTTTGATTCCGAGTACCCTCTCCTCAAAAAACCAAAAAGGATAGGAGTATCGCTCAGTGGGAAAGCCCTTGGTTCAATCCCTAGTACCAGAGGAGAATTGTGATTACCGTTACCCCTGCAGGCCAGCTGCCGATCACTGAGCCATCTGTACCTCCCGGCCTTTGTGTGCTCCCCTTCAAGCTGTTTACTCCCAGTCCTTTTTTAGTTAACTGCTGGTCACAGGTTAAATGCATTCTGTCAGAGGTGCCTTGCCCGAGCTTCCCAGTGAGTCACATTACCAGGCTCTCCTGTAGTTCCGAGAGCTTTCATACTGTGATCACTGGGTAGATGGGTGGTTTGGGGTTGGGGTCAAACCCAGGGCCTCATGCATGCTAAGCCTCTGTTTTGCCACTGGGCTAGCCGCCCCTGGCTCTTGTGTGGTTTCTGTTTTTAATAACTTGTTGAGTGACCAGTAGTCCCACAATGTAGGAAACCATGAATTCTCGAGGCTTAACCTGATGTATGGCCCCTGATAGGAGTTCACTGCCTCTAATGGACTCACTGACTGACCAGTGAGTGCCTCCTTTTGTTATGTGGTTGCTGCTGATAATTTTCAGTGGTTTTCTTTTTCTTTTTGTTGTATATTAAGAAATTGAAGGTCTGGGGATATGGCTCAGAGGCACAGCACCTATCTGGTGAGCGCTAGGTCCTGAGTTCAATTCCTGCTACCAAAAAGAAAAAAAAAAAAGGAAAGAAATTAAACAAGAAAGACCATAGGAATCTGCCTCTCTATCTTCAGCGGAATTCTCACAATTAGTTTTATTTAGGAAAACCAAGTGTTTAGCCAGATGTGGTTGCACACACCTGAAATCCCAGCACTTGGGAGGCTGAGGCAGGAGGATAGCTGCATGTTGAGACCAGCAGGCTACAAAGTGGGTTCAAGTTCAGCCTGAATTACAGAATGAAGCCCTTTCTCATTGTCTCAAAAAAACAGAACAAAAGGGGGGGATAAAAAAAGGAAAAGCAAATGTTTCACAAGTGTTTATAACATTCAGCAAAAGCTGAAAGACACCTAACCATCTCAGTACTGTTCACTAAAAAATATCTAGAGATCATATTTTGATACTTATTTCACTGTTTGTAGGCTTTTAAGATTTAGTTTCCTGCACATTGACTATTTCTAGCCTGCCTTGAACAAAAGTTACAGACAAATGCTATATAAATTTACAGACAGAAACAATGAGTGTGTTCCCTCTTTTCTACCAGTTTTGTTCTCCCTGTAAAAGTAATTTCTGGGTGTTGTCCAAGAAGTTTAAGTTACAGGTTCTATTTTTGTCCTTCTGAATAATTACTTAAAATTTTTTAGTTATTTAAAATTATGTGTAATCTTCATAGGCTCAAACAGTGAAAGAATCTGAAATTAATACAACTCTTCAGATGTGTTTCTTTGGGAAAAGAGGAGAAAAGAAACTTCATTATAAAGAATTTCGAAGGTAAATTTTAATGCTTATATTTATTTTGGGGAACTTTTAAAGGTAAGAATTGAAGAATTTGAACGTATTTAGTCTCCAGATTGGTAGACCATAAAACTAAAAACTGTTTGTGGATATATATATTTGTCTCTGAAAACTAAACCTGTAAAATATAAACTAAAGTTACTGTGCTCTAAAAATTCCAACCTATTACGAAAGTAAATGTCTGTCTTATAGAATGCAGTAACCTGTTTAGTAACGTAATGTTCACAACTAAGAGAACTGCCCTTAGTGTGGGTTTGTTCTTAATGAAAACCAGACCAGCCCAACAGAGGTCATTTGCCCTGCTGTCTGGTCTTCAGGTCAGTTGGATGTGACTCCCTCGTGGGGCTGGGACTGGCTGGTCTTGACTGAGACACTTGCCATCTCTTGATGGGTTCACCAAAAGGCAGCTGTTCTGGAATGGTCTCGGCTGAGAGTTCAGCTTGGCTCCATTTAGTCTCCAACTCTGCCGCACAAAGTGTGGCAGCCTTTTGCTGCAGAGGACTGAACAGTAAGCATGGACTTTGTCAGGCCACTCTGCTTCCTGTAGTGTAGCTCCTGCTCTCTCCTTGGTAAGCAATGCATTAATGCGCGGCGTGTCCATGTCCCATTGATTTCAGGCAACTTCTCTGTAAAATGACAATAATAGCACTTCCGTTAGACATCTCCTATTTACCTTCTTCCCACTGAGAGTGACTCAGTGAAAAGTAGGTGTCCCTCTTCGTGCCAAGCCACTCGTCAGTCTCAGAACAGAGACCAGAAGGGAGTACAGAATGATGGGGAACACCACCCTGCAAGGCAGCGCTGCGCCTTGTTCAGCCCAAGATGGTTTAGTAAAGATTTACTGAGTGCATACCATGTGCAGGTAGGCATCAGGTCCTGTCTCAAATGCTAGGGATAGTCCCAGAAGGGACAAAACAGACAGTAGTCACAGTAGTCAGTGCTGTCGTAGAGTTTTGAAAAAACAGTCTCTAGCACAAAAAGTCACTCACTGGGGATGCCCTCTGTTGACCATTGAGGCAGGTGACCTAGGGGAACCCAGCTGCAGGTGCTGGAATGTGCCTTATTCTGTGGTTCCCTCCAAGTCACACTTGAAGGCCATCAGCATCTGAGGGAGCAGGGATGTGACCAAGAGGGGAGTCTGGGCTTGAGTGGGACAAAAATGAAAAGGACCCACAGCACCCTCAGCAGGAAATATGGCAGCCGTGCTGTCAGGAACGTCAGACGGAGCTGGCCCTCCTCTCAGTATGTCCCATACATTGTCTCACCCATTCTTACCAAGGTGAGACACGTATTCCTCCCTTTTGTGACTCGATCCCTCGTCAGCTCCATTTGGAAACAGACAACATCTTTGATTTCCGTCTCTCCCTCGTTTTCTCCAGTCAGTCACCTTTACTGTAAATGATCTCTTGGATTGCACTGCTGCCCTCCGCCCCTGCTGCCGTCCCCATTCCGGTTATGTATCAGCCTCTAGCAGGACTCTTACTTCTTACTCTTCGATTTCCTCTGCCAACCTGCAGAATCCTATGACCACCTAATTCCTGTCACTGAAGGGAAAAAAAGGAGAAACAACATTCCTAATTCACTGTACATTCATTGCAAGTAAAGCAATATTGTTAATCATACTAATTTGTATCAACTGAATGTCATTACAGTACACAGGATAATACCTAGTGAATCAAAAGGCAAACTGTAATTGACTGACTCTGTTCTGATATGTCGCATTTGGTTTTACTGTCTTCAAAAAAAGTAATAAGAAGTGTGGAAGTAATAAAACCCAAAATGTATAATTGTCATTGTACAAAAGAAAGGAAAAGAAAGTACTCTAAAGGTTATAACTGCGTATATGTTTGAATGTATAAGATAGATAACCATATTACTGAGTGTTTTTTGAATCATTGAACAAAACTTTGCACTCTCACTGTTTGAAAGTCCACTTTATATGCTTCAATTTTGTAACTTGAACAACTATTTCTAAGATGAGAATTTGTAATCTATTTTTTAAAAAAAGGCAAACTGTATAAGTAAAATGTCTTACTGACTGATCTATAGTCCAAACTTGAAATACTTCAAGCTTTAGACCTACTTATCTAACACACTCAGAAAATGTTGTAGATGACAATCTGTTACTTGCACATAGGCACTAAGCATCAAACTCTTCGTGCTTTTCAGAGTTACAGGGAAAATGTACAACCTAAAGCAAGTAATTCTTTTGCAGTGGCAGTTTTTCCCCTCTGAACTGGACTCATTTCATATGTACATAAATTATATACATGCGAGAGAGAGCATAGATACTTTTTAACATGTGGACGAGTTAATAAAGGGGTCTACAACACTTTCTGTTGTTGTTTTTTGTCTTGCTATGTAGCGCAGGCTGGCTTTGGCTTCAATTCTCCTGCCTCAGCCTCAGTCTCCCAAGTGCTGGGATTACAAGCATGCACCCCCACACCCAGCTTGCAACATATTAAAACCTGCAGAAGCCATGATGCTTTTCACAAGTTAGGTTAAAAATCAATCAAGTGCCACATTAGTGGATTCTTGTTCAAAGAAAATGATGTTTAATCTGATACCCTTTCAAATTGTACCTTTTCCAGGAAGCTATTGATGACAGTTTGATCAAGGTGCCTTGTTAATCTTATAAGAAAAGCAGTTGGAGTCACACAGACATGTGCTGCTGTCCAAAGGAATACAAATATTTTAGGCAGACCTAAGCTTTTGATGCAAAGCCATTCATCAGCTTTGGTTTTTGAAAAATACTCAGAGTTATTCATTATGGTTAATGTTCTAAAAGCGGAGTGCCACGTAAACTTTTAATTTTTTGGATTATTAATCATGTTTCTATATGGAAAATTTTTTTTCTGTGGAATTTTATGTGGCAAGTGCAAGGTCCTGAGTTCGACTATCAGTACCAAAATAATAAGGTTGAATGTCACTACTTATGTCAGTGTTGTATTTTGTTATTAGATTTATGGAAAATTTACAAGCAGAAGTTCAAGAAATGGAATTCATTCAGTTTTCCAAAGGTTTGAATTTCATGAGGAAAGAAGACTTTGCAGAATGGCTACTTTTTTTCACCAACACTGAAAATAAAGACATTTATTGGAAAAATGTGAGAGAAAAGTTGTCAGCAGGAGAGGTTAGTACTTTTATTTATGCATGTGATAAAACCTGAAATGATAACCAGCATGTTGGCACAAACCTATAATCCCAGCACTCAGGAGGCCAAGGCAGGAGGATTGCTAGGAGCTCAAGGTCAGCCTGGGCTACAGAGTGAGCTCAAAGCCTGTCTGAACTGCACTGCAAAACCCTGTTTCAAAAAAAAGGTGGGGGAAAAAAGAAGGAAGACAAAAATAATGTCTAAATTAACCAACACTGTGCTACCCTCTGTTGTGGAAGTATGACACTGGAGAAACATTTTCCACATACTTTCCTGTAAAAGAACTGCTACCTAAGACAGAATCAGTGTAGGACCTGTGAACCTGCATTTCCACTAGCATCAGGAATGAGACAAGAACCCACTGTCACCACTACTATTGAATATTATTCTAGAAACTTTAGCCAGGCAAGTGAACAAGACTTCTAAAAAAGGTTACAGTAATTTGAAAGACAAACATGTCTCTTTGTTTGCATATGATGTGATTATATGCCCATGGAGCCCATGAGAATCCAGTTGAAAAACTATTAGAAAACAGTAAGAAGTCAATAAGGTCCTGTTACAGTGTAAACAGACAAAGCAGCTGCTATTGGAGGTACATATTTCAAGTTTAAAAACATAACGGTGTGTATGTGTGTGCATATGCCTGTGTTTGTATGAAATACATGAAATGATCACTGAACCATTAACAATGATAACGTGTGGCAGTAAGATTTCAAGTGATTTTTATTTTCTTTATATTTTTATGTATTTCAAAAGAAATTTTAGAGTGGATATGTATTTTTATAAAACTTTTTAAAATACTGATTCTAAGTGAGAGGAAGGATAAATATAATAGACGATCATATATATGATTGCAATAGAAATACATAAAATTAGAAATAGATTTAACAGAAAAATATATGAAAAAAGCTTTACAACCTTGATCTTTATAAAACTTAACTGCAGAAAATTCCTTATTACTGATAGTAAGTCTTGGTATTATAAATAGAGCTGTTCCTTCCTTCAGCTGGTGGATAAGCGTGATTATATTAGTCAGAACAGCCAAGTTTGCTGCAGTTGCAAGTTACCCCTGAAATCCTCATGGCTAACCCAGCAAAGGTTCGTTTTCCAGCCATGCTGCATCTCCTCTGTGGGCCACTAGAAGATGCTGTCCACACAGTGGCTGGGGACCAGACTGTCCCTGGCTCTGCCATCTTGCTGTGGAAGAAGCACCTCCTCAGAGGCTGGACAGGAAGAGGAAGGAGTCCCACTCTGGCAGCCAAGTGAGGGGGCCTGGACACAGCACAGGATGCTTGGCTGTGGGCCACACCAGTCACACACCTCACCCGAGTGCACAGCGACAAAGAGGTGCTGTCTTTCACACGGGAATCAGAAAGAGCCAGAAATGGCTAAACTCCGGTGGGTTGCAACAAAAATACCCCTGAATTCTTGTGAGGGAACCAGACAAGCCATTGAAAGTTGAAATGAAGAGGAGTCAAGATATTGAACTGTGTTATCAAACTTAAGTAACTAAAGCAGTTTCTGACAACAAACTGACCAGAATATGAAGTCCAAAATCGATTCAGATACTCTGGAAATGTAGCACATGCAAAATAGTTTTTCAGATTAACTGGGTAAAACAAATAGCATTAGGAAAACCCACTGATGAAGCTGGCGATTTAGGTCAGCAGCATAAGCACCCGCCTGGCAAACATGAGGTTGTGAGTTCAAGCCCCGGTACCAAATTAAAAATCTATGGGCCAGGGATTTGGCTCAGCAGCATAAGTGTCTGCCTGGCAAGCACGCAGTCGTGAGTTCGATCCCTGGTACTAAAAAAAAGGAAAATCCATTGGCCATCGAAGGAAGAAGATAACCATCAATCTCTACCTTACTCATTGCTCCAAAATAAATTCAAAATGGGTCAAAAATTACATCTTGGAAAAATGAAGCTGAATAAGCATAGAAAAACTGAGAAACAGCATGTCATCTTAGAAGGGAACATATAGCAATAGACATGTACCACTTTAAGCAGAATCCGCAGTTAAATAAATTACTACTTACAAATTACAATTTTGCCTCCCCTCATCCTTATATCCTTATAATCCTTACAATAAAAGTCAAAAAAAATTAACAATAAGAGGAAGGTATATTAGTTGGACATGTAATAGAGCACTCTCCTTAATTTACAACAGGATCTTTAAAAATCCGTAGGCATCTACAACAATAAACAGTCCTAGATATTCCCCTGTTTAACATATATTAAGATTTGAAGATCAGTATGGTAATAACTGTGGAGTGTCTGAGACTTTATCCATTTGCAGGTTAGCCTGCATGGTTTTGTGGATGCTTGCAGAAGACATGAGACTCCGGGCTCAGAGACAAACATTTTACCATTCGTACCTTAGCAGCAGCATGAGTGTCGCACCTGCGTTGGCTCCCTGCCTCCCAGGTCCCCGGATGGTGATGCTGAGACACAGCGCCCAGTGGAGGGACCTGTCTGTCTCTGTGCATCCCAGTCTCAGCACAGGCAGCAAGGGAGCTTCTGGGCCTGTGCTGCAGATGGAAGCGAAGTCCTCTGCCCCCCGAGAAGGCACCACGTATTCAGAACTGCCCGCTTCACAGTTATCCTTGAAAAGAGAATCAGGTGGACTGGGATCTAGCTCAGTGGCATAAACTTATAAGTCCTGAGTTTGATCCCCGGTACCAAAAAGAAAAGAGAGGACTGGGGACTTAGCTCAGTGGCATAAGTGCCTGTGTGACAAGTGTGAGGTTGTGAGTTCAAACCCCAGTACCAAGAAAAGAGAAAAGGAGCAAAGTAGCAGTTGGCTCATCTGCTCAAAAGACATGCAGAAACATTGAAGAGGTCACCTGAGAGCTCTAGAAATCTGAAGGAAGGACAAATGGACGAAGAAGAGAAAGCTCTGCTGATTCATTGTAAGCATGTGAAGAGTACTGACGTTCATTTATGAAGACACACAGACCCACACACTGACACTGCACTGTCCTTACTTGTCAGAGAAGTTGCTCCCACTGCCTGCTTTGAGGTCTGATGCAGAGAAATGGTTCCCTGCTGATGAGTATGCTGCTGAGAGAAGAAGCCACGTGTAGGAATCAGTGTAAGTCAGGCTGTGTGTGTGTGCACGCGCACGTGAGCCTCCCACAGGTGCACACTGCTTTCAGAGGCATACCCAGGGCTGCATTGATTGCCTCTGGGAAATTAATAACTAAAGGCTTTTCGCTATGTATCCTTTGTTCTTTTTGAATTTTTTTATTTTAAAGAGCATAAAACCCAACAAAACAAAGCAGTGAAAGGGGTACAGAGCTTTGAAGCAAGATAATAGGAAATCAATAATGACTACCATATCTTCACAATAGTTGTCCATTCCATCAGACATAGTAAGATCAATAAAACAGAACAGACTAAAACCAATCAAGACAGAACATTGAATAAAACAAAACAATACGATCAAAACAAAACAGTGAGACCAATTTTGGAATTACCTCCTAGTAGCTGCTCAGACTACTGGCCTTAGGTCTGCAAAGTCAGTCAAACAGTACGAGCATTCATTTGTTTGTGTACCTCAGCTGCTGTCAGCTCAGCTGTCCTCTGAACCAGCCGGTTGCTTACAGGTGGGAGGTAGCTCTTGATGCTCACCCATGTACTGGTTGGCTCATGGGGAAGGAGATCTGGCTTCTGTCTTCCTGGGCCCCACATGGTTTGCATGGCTCACCAGAAGGGTGAACTGGCTTCTTAGCGTGGGCCTCCCTGACTCTTTTTGAATTTTTATCACACATACATATGACTTCAGAAATGTAATTAAAATTCCCCAAGGCATGGTGGCGTACACTTGTAACCCAGCACACTGGGTGGCTGAGGGAGGAGGGTTGCAAGCTTTTAGAAGACCCTGCCTAAAAACGGGCTGGGGATGTAGCTCAGTAGAGAGGCCCTTTATTCAGTGTTCAGCATGCCCACAAAAACCATAAACTCATGAAAGCTAAAAGCAGTAAAACCTGGATAAAACGCTCCATATACAAAAGACATGATCCAAAAGGTTCCCAGAAAGACACTGACTGTTTTCGGAGATAGGGTTTCACTATGCATTGTAGGCTGCCTTGGCCTCCCTGATGCTGAGATTACAGTGTGCCACTAGACTCCACTCAAAAGATGCTTTTTTAAGCAGGAAAGAATTTACCTTCAGATTAAGAATTCTTTTATTGTTTTTAGTTTATAATGGGAAAACTAGTCTGTTAACATCTTTGTTGTGTTTTTGGACATTGTGTCTGGCAGTGCTAGGGATGAAAGCCAGGGTTTTGCTAGGCATTTGCTAGGCAAGTGCTCCACCACTGAGCTATATCCATAGCCCTTTGCTTCTGTTTCTTAGGTGCAAAGATTTTCAAGTCCATTGAGCAAGAGTTCGAATCCTGGTTATTCCATGTAGTACACTGTGGTCAGATATATGTTTAGGTGATAGAGACAGTAAATGGCAAGACTGAAATTCAACATAGGTTCATTTCCAAAACCCTCTCCTACTCAGTGCCATCTGACTCGTAAAACTCTGCAGAAGGGGACCATTTAACAGAGTACGTTACTGTCCTTGGGCTGTAGTAACAAAGTGCCAAACAACGGATATGTTTCGTTATTGTGGAGGCTGGATATCCAGAGTATGGGTGCTGACAGCCCATCTTCTGAAGTGGCCCCTGCATGTGGCACCTCTTCAGGGTGTCCTGTGCGACCTTGTTCATAAACAGGAGATCGAGCATGGGGGTGAGCAAGCATGGCCGTCTTTTCCTCTCATGACACCAGCCTCCTCAGACCACTCTCTTCCCTTCCTGAAAGGCCTTGCCTCCAAATAAAGTCTCACTGGGAGTTTGGGCCTCGCATGAAGTTGGTATGGAGCCATCCAGTCCATCATGCAGGGCCAGCCCAGGGTTTGCACTGCACAGCCCGTGGGACCCCACGCACACAGCGTCTAGTCTCCCCCCAGCCATAGCACAGGCCCTGCCTGCTCCTCTCTCATCGTTCCTCTTGAGCTCTAAAACCTTTCATTCTGTTAATCTGTGTCTTGAACTTTTTAATAGACTTGCTTAGATCTAAGTTCATAAGCTTATGATACAAGACTACAGTTATATTCATAAGATTACTTAATGTATTTATAAAAATGTAATAAAACCTCTTTGTTTTTATTAGAGCATTAGTTTGGATGAGTTCAAGTCATTTTGCCATTTTACGACCCACTTGGAAGACTTCGCTATTGCCATGCAAATGTTTAGCTTAGCTCATCGACCTGTCAGACTAGGTAAGATATAGAAATCGTTTAATTTTTATCCTCAATAAGCTGTTTCACTCTGTTCTTCAGTGGGATGATACCAACCACAGAGCCAGTTATCAGTAAAATAATTGGCCTTTTAAGTCAATATGGCTATTCTAGATTTACAACACCAACAACTTATTTAACAATTACTTTTTTGCTTTTAGTTTCTCATTATTCTAAAAAAGAAAAGGAAATGCCTAATATGCAATTAAAGCTTTAATTAAAACAGCTTACTTACAGTTACTTTCATGGCATTTCTCAACGAATTTATGTTCTTTGAATGTATTTGTGATGAGTATTTTTGTGTTTTACTTCCCAAATAATAAAAACTTAAATTTGTTGTTGCTTCTCAGCTAATGAAAGCTTAGCTTAATTACAGCTCGACTATTTCACCTGCCTGTTGTGGTTTGTGTTCTCTTTTGTAGCAGAGTTTAAGAGAGCTGTGAAGGTAGCTACAGGACAAGAGCTTTCAGACAACATTTTGGACACGGTCTTTAAGATCTTTGATTTGGATGGTGATGAATGTCTTAGCCATGAAGAATTTCTTGGGGTGTTAAAAAACAGGATGCATCGAGGTTTATGGGTAACATATTTTGAGTTTTTAAAAACCTACATGTTTATATGTTATTAACAATAATATTAAGCCTAGATAAACCTAGAATTTGAGCAAATAGCAATCTTAAATGAAATTTTAATAGTTTGTAAAAATTAATAATTGAAATACTGAAATGCTTTACATAAAATGAGATGTGGCATTTTGCTCTTTAAAAAAATAGATAGTTAGGGGCTGGGGATTTAGCTCAGCGGCATAAGTGCCTGCTTTGCAAGCACGTGGTCATGAGTTCGATCCCCGGTACCGATTAAAAAAAATTATATATATATATTTGTACTAGAAACCACTATTTAAAAATTTTAGAAGGCTGAGTGTGGTGGCGCATGCCTGTAAGCCCAGTACTTAGGAGGCTGAGGCGGGAGAATCACTAAGTTTCAGACAGTATGAGTTGTATAGCAAGACCCTATCTCAAAAAAAAAAATGAATTAAAATTAAAGTCTTAGGATTTGAACTTCGGGCTTTGTAGTTATGTACCTGTGTTCAAATCCTGGCTCTGCCATTTAACTGCTGAGTCTTACAATGCCACGTAATTTTAATTTTTTTTTTTTTGAGCCTCAGGTTTCTCATCTATTTAACAAGAAAGCTAACAATCTACCAGAAAGAATCATTATTAGAATTAAGTGTGTAGAGGCTGAGATGCATAAGTAAATAATGTTAGCTGTTTGTATTCCTTCTGATTCACATATTGGTCTGTAACTTTGGGGAAGATCAAAGACAAGAGTTTTGTTTAGATTTGAATCAGTTAGAAGCATCCTCACAAAAGACATCTTTGAAATGCAGATACAGAGAGAACGCACACAGCAGGTGGGCAGGTGGGCCAGAAGAAAGGACAGGCATTAAAGAACGTGAGGCCCACGTCTGTGGAGACAGCACTGGACTCACAAGTTAGAAAACAAGTTAATTCCTACAGCAAACATGACTTGGGGGAAACTAACAAATACGATTTCCATTAGCAAGCCTTTCATACCTAGCCTGCCTTCAGCTTTTTTTTTTAAGGAGTGTGGGAAGGAAATTACCTGTAACATAACATACACATGCCATTATTTTAACCTGGAGGAGAATGACCCTTAATTTTCACTTTTTATTCACAGGTACCACAACAACAGAGTATACAAGAGTACTGGAAATGTGTGAAAAAAGAAAGCATCAAAGGAGTAAAAGAAGTCTGGAAACAAGCAGGGAAAGGCCTTTTTTAAAAAGAGATAACACAGCAGTTATGTGGCTCCAAAGTCAAGATTTGACATTTTTTCCAAAGCACTAGCTGCTTTTCTTCCTAAGTCCTCAATTTCCTTTGTAGTAAAAAAACACCATGTACCTGCTTTCTGATTCAGTGATTTCTTGATACATTTTTTCACTGAGACCTTAGTGAAAAGAAAACGAACTACAGTACTGTTGTCTAAAAGCACACTGGATTCTGTCAGAATGCCTAAATTCTAAGTGATTTTTTGTGGTTGATAAAACAGAAAGCCTAGTTATTCATTGAGTTCTTAAACAGAAGAGCATGATTTTCTTTCTGGAAAAGTTATCTTGGGGCAGGGATTTAGTTCAGTGGCTCGAGAGCTTGCCTGGTAAGCACAAGGTCGTGAGTTCGATCCCTGGTACTAAAAAAAAAAAAAGAAAAGTAGTGCTTGCTTCAGCATATACTCAAATTAGAAAAGGTAACAAAGTATCTGATTCACAGGCAGTATCAGTTCCAGAAATTGTGGTGTTGCTAGGAGAAGAAATTAAATTAAAAGCTGCTTTCAGATTTCTTGCATCAGTGTCATCTCTAATAAAGTTCTTGTGTGTTTTACTTCAGTTAGCTTAGCTGTATATTGTCTTAAAAATAGTATGTTAATGTCAGTAATGAAATAAAAATAAAAGTGTTCACATAAATACAAAAAATATCCAGGTATTTTTTACATTATTTGTGTGTTTTTAATTGTCTTAAAAATCTGTCTGTCAATAATGAAATCAGAATAGAAGTGTTCACATAGATACAAAAATATCCAGGTATTTTTTTATATTACTTGTATGTTTTTAACTACAACTTTTTTTTAAAAGGTAACTATCTTTTTATCGGTACTGGGGATCAAACTCACAACTGCCTGCTTGCAAGGCAGACACTTATGCCGCTGAGCTAAATCCCCAGCCCCTAAAAGGTAACTATCTTATCCCTTGCCAATCTTACTAGTTTGTCCTTAAAAATCAGCACAGAACTGAACACGTAGCTCCAAGCACTTAATGGGCAGGCAGCAAACCATGGGTTCAATCTCTAGCACCACAAAAACCAAGCAACAGCACCTCATGTACTTAGGAGAGTTCTGATTGCAGTAAAGGAGGGCCTCATGGGATACACTGGCTTGTGAAAAATTATGCGTGAAGTAGCACTAGAAATTAATTACCATTAGAGTAAACATAGTAGTACAAAAAGGGTTAAAATAAATGATCAATGAAAATGTGCTTCTCAATGAAATTTAAAAACCCATCTCCATTCCACAGAGAACTAGCTGATTCCAGGGCTGTGGCAGCAGAAGTCCAAGATGAACCTGAAACTTCTTGTTCCTAAGCCCAGAAAAGTGTGTGAAATCATGGGGAACCAAGCAGACAAGTCATCAGGAAAGGACTCCCCTGGCCCAATCTGGCCCATGCCATCAGAGTGATGCACAGTGGTACCTCGGTGGGTGAACTTGATTCTCCCCACACTTCTGGTCACAACCAAGTTGGATGAGAACTAAGTACAATTCATTGGTGAGGTTCAATATTGACCTTATGGGGAAATTTGATTCAAGGATCCACGTGTGGTTCAGCTTGCAATCAGAATCTTGGAGAGAACTCAGTTTGTGATGTGAGGTTTCACTATAGCGGGCACAGTGGCACACATCTGTAGTCCTGGCTACTCAGGAGGCTAAGATAGGAGGATCACAAGTTTGTGGGCAACCTAGCAAGAGCCCATCTCAAGGCTTGGGGCATCGTCTGTGGTAGAGAACTTACCTAGCATGTACATGGCCCTGGGTTCAGTCCCCAGTACTGCAAAAAAAAGAAAACTATATAACATTATATAAAACAATCCATGAGTTTACAATAAAAATAAACTGCTTAATAGGACAATGGAAGCCTCCCTTACAATTATTAAAGGCTAGTAAGGCTGTGAAATACATTAATCCAGTATATTGAAAAGCTCTTCCCTTATAGTTTAATACTTGAAATTGACAAAGGGTGAGACTTTTTGCCCAATTTTTTTTTATAGTTTAATGTATTTTAATAGCAAACTTACAGGCACAGCACAGAAAGACAGACAACATTAAAAACATGTACTAGCATGTAAGACAACTCAGAAAAGTATAATGACTGAATGGAATCCACTGTGTGATAAAAATGCTACAAACACCATTTAGTTGCTATCAAGAAATTTACTTGTTTTTTTAAAAAATCCAAATGCTGGCATTGTCCAGAAAAATTTAAGATTTTCATTTATAAAATTGAAGTGCTGAAACTTGTTCACTGAAACATTTCAACTTGCATGAATGCTTTACATCCCCGCATGAATATTAAAAATTCACACACGGGCTGGAGGTTTAGCTCAGCGGCATAAGCGCCTGCCTTACAAGCAGGCAGTCGTGGGTTCGATCCCTGGTACCGATAAAAAGGAAAAAGACAAAAAAAAAAAAAAAAAGAAAATTGAAAAACTGCCAATACCTGATTTCTGTCCCCTATTTTCCACTCACAATCATGTACTTAGGTACCTTTTAACCCCACGAGAAAAAAAGTAACATTCAGAACTACCAATAACAGGGAGAAGAGAAAAAAAATTTTGAGCATGAAATGTCTCCCACCATAGTAGACTCTTAAGCATGTTCTCCACGAATGTGGCGTGCTAGCTGGATGTCTTTTGGCATAATTGTGACACGTTTGGCATGGATGGCACACAGGTTGGTGTCTTCAATCAGGCCAACCAGATAGGCCTCACTTGCCTCCTGCAAAGCACCAATAGCTGCACTCTGAAAACGCAGATCTGTTTTGAAGTCCTGAGAAGTTTCGCAAATCAGAAGTTCAGTGGACTTCTGAAAACGCCTAATTTCACGAAGTGCCTCGGTCCCAGGCCTGTAACGATGAGGTTTCTTCACCCCTCCAGTAGAGGGCGCACTCTTACGTGTGGCTTTTGTAGCCAGTTGTTTCCTGCGCACTTTACCACCAGTGGATTTGTGGGCAGTCTGCTTGGTACGAGCCATGCTACAAGGTCCTCCTTACCCGCTTCTCCTTTGGCTGGAGCTCGGCGAGAGAGAGGCGGCGCTGGCCTTAGAGAGCGACGGTGGCGCGGCAGCGGCTGCGAACACCTTTTTACCCAATTATTATGAAAGTATTTTGTTGGTTAAAAACATTTTTTTCTTATTTTTTGAAGCCGGTCTTGAACTTGCAGTGTAGCCCAGGCCGGCCTCAAACCTTATTGCAGCCGACCTGCTTAGCCTCTGGAATTACATGCATGTACCACCGTGTCTGGCCTGGCTAAAAAAAAAAAAAAAAAAAAAAAAGTTGTCTTTTGTTCGTTGTTTTAGAAATAACTACTTACGGAATTACTAATTTGTTTTTATCTCTGGTAAAACCCAACCAAGGGAAAAGATAGATAAGAATGTCTTCGTGTTCAGTCTTGTTGGCTGGAAATGCTCTCTCCCCAGCTGTCCCCCAGGTGCCCTGGAGGAAGAGGTGGGGTGCAGAAGTGCAGCTGGCAGCCCCAGTCTCACTGCGGGCGACTTGCTCCCTTCTTTACGTCAAACCGTGAGTATGCCTGGAGACCCTGACCCTGCCTCACCGCACCCACCCGCCCCGGGCCTCCCGATGGCGGTCCACAGAGCAGCTGCTGTCTGCAGTGCAAGTTTTTCACTGAATTCTCCAAGAGCAGGAGAGACCGCTGGTGATCATTTTGTGCCAGTCTGACTGACCACCTGCTTGCCACAGCACGCACAAAGGGAGCAGGAGGAAGGCCGAGAAAAGGAGAACAAGGAAAGAGGAATTTCTCTTTTTTAGTTGTTTTTTGGACAGGGTTTTGCTGTGAAGTTCAGTCTGGCCTTGTACTCACTGGACTCAAACTCACAGTGATCCCCTGCCTCAGCTGCTCGGTGCCAGGAGCAAGGAACACAGGCGTTTAAAGTAGTAAGACGTATGCCCAGGCTGGCGTGGTAGTGCACACCTGTCCCAGCACTCTGGGACACTGAGGCAGGAGGACTGTGAGTTTAGGCCCACCCTGTACAATTTTGTGATTAAAAGACCCTGCCTTGGAAAAAAGTCTGGGCTATAGCAGTGCTAAGGTCCAGGGTTCAACCCAGTACTACAAAAACAAGTGAGAGCCAGGCGTGGTGGCTCATGCCTGTAATCCCAGCACTTGGGAGGCTGAGGCAGGAGAATCGTTGTGAGTTCCAGACCAGCCTGGGCTACAAAGTGAGCTCAAGGCCAGCCTGAACTGCACAGCGAGACCCTGTCTCAAAAAGACAAAAAAAAAAAAAAAAAAAAAAAAAAACACAAGTGCGCCAGGGACTGGGGTGTGACTTGGTGGTATGGCGTTTGCCAGGTGCACTCGGGGCCTGAGGTTTGAGCTCCAGCACCAAAAATAAGGGGAAAGAAACCATTTCAGTTTTTCAAAGCCAAAAGGAAATTTCTGCATCTATAGCAAACCAGTCATTAATTTTCTGCATCATTGTGGTTGCTACAAACTGCCTGACACCCTTTAGAAGGGAGGCAGGTCATTCTTCTGTCAGATAAGCGACCAGACCTGCCAGCGCCCTCCCAGAAGCACAGTCCTCCACCTTGACGGTGGCGGGCATCCTGAAAACAGAACCTGCCCTTGGGTATGTGTTCACTTACCCTCATTTTGTTGCGCATGGTCATGAGGCCTCTAGTATTTTGTGAGTTGCCGTATTCCTCTGTGCTCCCCCAGTTCGGAGGGAGGGCCTGAGAGTGAGCCCCAACCTCACCAGCGTCCTTGTGAGTCTATCCACCTGGCCACCAGGCTTAGCAGCTCTCTGCGGTCCCTGTAGGACAGGCTCAGGCAGCACCTCTGACCCTGTCCGGTGGCCTCCTCCCCGTGGGCCTGCTCTGGCTTGGAGGGCTCCACCCAGATCAGGCACCCCAGGCACCCACTCCTCACTTCCCCATTACAGTCGAGATCCAGCCATTTGTTTCCTCGGGGCCCCAAAGGTCCTCCCCTCCTGCCCACTCCTACGCCTTAGTTCTGCTGCTGGACAGCGCCTCTCCCGGCTCCTCTTCTATTGCGTGCAGCACAGGAGGGCCATGCTGGAGCTCCGGACTCATGGTGTACAGCCTGGTTAGCGCTCAAGTCAGTGCCCAGACACTGTGTGGCCGCTGGCAGAGACCCAGCCTTCTGCCCCTTTCCTCACCTAGAACGGGGAGCAGCTGAGGTTCTGTGTGCAGGAGTTTCAGCCAGGACTCCCAGTCCTCCTTCACACCAATTCACTCTCCTGAAACAGGTCTGAGTGAGGCGCGCCTCTGTTAACAATCCCGTAACCCTAAAATCACCTACAAAGTGAAATCCCGTTGTACAAGATTCTGTCCGCACACAGAAGCAGATTTGACGAAAGATAGATAAATGTGTATGAGTTTACCAGACTGGCCAGCACTTGGGAGGCTGAGGCAGGAGGATTGTTGCAAATTCAACACTAGCCTGGGGCTACAAAGTGAGTTCCAACTGCATAGCGAGACCCCGTCTCTAAAAGAAAGAAAACAAAGCCCTCAGCACCGTGGGGACCCCAGGATTCAGTGCAAGGCCACGGCTTCCTGCAGTGGGCCTTCAAGTTGGAGGTGGAGACTGGCACCTGAGGAGACCAGCAGCCTGCCTTCCTCCTTGCCCTTTTGTTCATTCAGACGCAGGCCTGTTCTGGGGTCACTCACGCCCATGGCCCAGCAATCCATGCATTCCTCGCTCAGACTGACCTGGGCTCCCCCTGCCCTCCCGCTCGCCCACCGGCAGGCTGGGTTGTCCAGTCCTCCCGAGGAAGAGCTCGCGGCTGGGGGTGCCACTTCCCTCACTGGGCAGTCCAGGCCTTCCCAGTGTCCCCGAAACTCACTGAGGCCACCCCACCATCTGTCCATCTGTCTGCTCCTCCTCCCAGCCTCATGCTCACTGGATCTGCGTTCTTTTCTGTTGGAGCTTGGCCTAACTGACTCCGTCTTGTGCCCTGTGTTTGACCCAGTGGAGTGAAAAATCACCCAGGGTACAAGTCCCGTGAGAAAAGCAGAATGAGCTGCACCACAAGACAAGAATTAACCTGCTCAACAAAGAAGCAGGATACAGGTGTCAACCAAAATTAATGCAGGATTCTAGCTAAATTGCTTCCACAGGATGCCTTGCTTCACAGTTTTTTGCTTTAATGCCCTGTAGCCCTCCAGTTCTGCACCACTCGTTTAAACTCTGAAATGGGTCTATGGTGGTCATTGAGCTCAGCTAATAAAATTCCAAATTTATCAGTTTGGCTGCTTGGACTCCTATATTGTTTACAAACTCACTTCAGTTTCCTCCCACCACTCTGCTCCAAGCTGCTTAGAAAAAGGACTTTAACACTCTCCCATCACCATCAAAGCACTGGTGGTTACCCATGGCCCTAAGAAAATGGGGACAGGAATGAATGACAGGGAAGTGGAACAGTCCCGTCCTCCTGAGTGCACCCCTTCTCCCAGCTGTGCAGCCTGCCCGTCACAGGGCCCAGGGCAGGGGAAGGAGGGGGTAGAGCTGGGGTTCAGCCTCTCCCTGAGCACCTGCATAGCACCCGGGCCGGGAAGGAAGCACCACCGGTTCTGGGGATGAAGATACAGAAGCAGGGCCCGGGACTTGGCTCAGCGCCTGCCTGGCAAGCGCAAGGTCGTAAGTACCAAAGTAAAAACATAAATAAAAAATAAAATACGGAAATACAGTTACCACTGGGGCACTACTTGAGAAAGTCAAAAGATGGTATCGACTGAGGTCAGGGCGTGGGGCAGAGTGGGCTGCTCCAGAGCCAGGGGTGAGCACAGGCCTCCAGGCCAGCCTGAAGCACAGCAGCCCTTTGTCTCAAAAGAGAAAGGAAATCAGCAGCCTGGGCAGCATGGCACAGCCCAGTCTAAAATAAACAGACAGCACACTGATGTTGTAGGAACACAAAGGACTATGAGACAGGAACTTGGGTTGCTGTCTAGATAAAACAGTAGACTTCCCAGAAACACAACCCCGTGAAACTCTGGTAGAAAGACAAAGCTGTGGCTACATGTGTAACTACTAAGAGGATTCAGCAAAACCCCCAGAGAAAATGTAGGGGCAGGGGCTTCCCTGCCAACTCCTAACGCTGCTCTTTCTCAAACAGGAGGGAGCGCTGCCCAATTTGTTCTACAAGGCTAGCATGCGCATGATAGCGAGGCCAAAGACACTACCAAAAAAAATACTCTCAAACAGCTGAAGCAGCAAATCACACCATGACCAGATGAGATTTGTTTCTGGGGTATGGGCTCGTTCAACATACCACCATCAGTCAGCACCACAGTAACAGGATGAAGGAGGAACCATGGTTAGGAACCATCTTCAGTGAAATTAGGTGTGCACTTACCCTGTGGGCCAGCAGTCATTTCTCCACAGAAGCCTGGGAGAAGAGCACAAACCTACACAAGATGTGCACAAGACACTGCCCCCGGCTGATGGTACCCGAGGGAATCAGGAGGAGCCCAGGTGTCCCCCTAAGAAATGCAGAGGAAAACATGGCAAGTACCTTCTGAGAAATGGTAGGTCCCCAGAATACAACAGTAAATGTAAAACATGAGACACAAAATCTACGGCAAATACAGTTTCCGTAAGTTAAAAACACTGTTGTCCTTCGTTATCTACAAGGGACTGGCTGCAGGAAGCCTGGGGATGCTCAAGTCTGAGGGTGTGCAAAACTCACATAAAATAGCAGAGAGCGACGTGAACCGTAAGTGCATCCTCCGTATACGCGAGATTCTCTCCAGGCTACCTAGAGTATCTCCTGCATTGCAAGTACCGTGTGAACAGCTGTTACACGTCATCTGTCCGGAGTAGTGGTACACACAGTCTCCGTGTTCACAGCAGACACGGGTCTCAGTCTGAAGTCTGCTTTGTCTGTGGTTGGCTGGGTCCACAGACGCAGAGTCCACAGGTACGGAGGGCAAACACAGAGTCGAGTGGCCACCACGGCCACCTCACTTTCCCTGGAAGCCTGTAAGCTCTCCCCACCTCCAGGCCTCTGCCCTGACCGCCTGTGACCTCAGACTTGGAGCCTTCCGCAGGACACGCCCTTCCATCATTCGGGTCTCTGCTCAAAGTACTCCTTTTAGTTTTATTTTTGTAATTTTGTGACTCATCAGCCCTCTCGTGAAAGCTCGTACAGTCACTGCTTACAGACGCTGCAGAATGTTCACTCGTTCAGCGTCCTGCCAGCACCAGCATCGGCCTTTGCGGTCCCCCAACCTCTGCTGTCCTTGCTTTCCTTCTACTGCTTTCTCTCTCTCTCTCTCTCTCTCTCTCTCTCTCTCTCTCTCTCTCTCTCTCTCTATTATTTTAAAGGTAGTAAAATACAACAGAACAAGACGGAACAAAGCCAATTGAGATTGTGCAGTGAAACTGTACAGAACTCACAGCAGGTTACCGGGATAACAGTGATAGGTTCCACAGTATATCTTGTTGTGCTTTCAATCAGGTATAGCAAAATCAAGTGAAATACAGAACACTATAGAACTTATCAAAACAATATTGAATAGAGCGATACCATTAATCAGAACAAAGCAAAACAGTCATAACAATATTTGCCTTCAAAGAGATGGTAGAAGAATATTGCATATGGTCATCTTCCCAAAAGATGCTCAGACCTCTGACTCCTGTTTGCTAAGGAGGGGGGTATGGGATGTTTGATTTTCAGCCCTCAGGCTCACAGCTGCTTACCAGGGAGTCCAGCAGCTGGCTTGGTTTCCTAGTGCCCCAAGTTCCAACATGGTGCAGATCTTGGCAGAGGCCAGTGGTTCTCCCCGGGGCAGCCACAGCTTGCCTGAGCCACTTACCAGGGAGGTGAGCTGGTGGCTTCTCTTTTTTTTAATTATGTTTATCACACTCAGCATAGGGAATTTCTACCTGTACATGATATAATTTTTCTCTTTCCCATCATCCTGCTTTCCCTCCAACTCCTCTCCCTCTAGAGTATGGAGTATGGACTGACAAAAGCTTTATTTCCACTTTTTCCTTTTCTCCTCCCCATCTCTGTTTCCTCCTTCCCATTTAAACATTTTCTGTTTCACAATTTCTATTATGTATTTCAGTGCTTATTTACACTTTCAATTTCTCACATAAGAGAAACAATGTAGTATTTACACATGTGTGTCTGATTTATTTCTCTTAAGAGTATGGCCTCAAGGAGCCTCTATTTAGCTAGAAATTTCTCAGGGTTATCCTTCTTTATGGCAGACTAGTACTCCATGGTACAAAAACCACATCTTTTTTTATCTATTCATCAATTGATGGGCATTTGGACTGTTTCCAAGATTCAGCTGTTAAAACCTGTGGCACTATAAACACAGATGCACATGTATCACTGTGGTATGATGCTCTTAATTCTTTCAAGAAGACACCAAGAAGGAAAAGAGCTGGGTCAAATGAAACCTCTCGTTTTGTGTTGTTCAGGAATCTCCATGCCAGTTCCACAGTGGTTGTCCCAGGATACACTCCTATCAACAGTGGAGGAGAAGGGTTCCTTTTCCCCACAGCCCCACAGCATTTGTTATTGGTTGATTTCTTGATATTAGGCATTTTTTTCTGGGGAGAGAGGGGCTCTCAGCATTGTTTTAATTTGCACTACTCAAATGACCAGTGATAGTGAACATTTTTTCATATGTTCATTCACCTTTTCTACTTCTTAATCTGAAGTCTCTGTTCATTTCAGATGTCCATTTTTTTATTAAAGGGGAGAAAATTTTAAAGGGGTAAGAGGGGAAAATAGAGAAACAGAAGAAAAGGAAGAGATTAGAAGCAATGATGGAACTGGGCATGGTGGCACATGCCTGTAACCCTGGCACTTGGGAGGCTGAGTCAGGAGGATTGCTGCAAGTTTAGGGCCATTCCATCGTGAGTCCAGGCCAGCCTGAACTACACAGCAACACTCTTTCTCAAGAAGAAGAAGAGGAGGGGAGGGGGTGGGGGAGGAGGATGATGATGGAGGGGGAAGGGGAGGGAGACTGGAAGACCAAAGAGCATCACACAAGCTCTAGGAAACTGGTGAAGAAGACAGGAGGAGAGAAAGAAGAATTAAAAACAAGAATAGAACAAAACAGCAACAAAAATTAGAAACCATGTTCACACTCATCTAAAAACAAGAATGAGCAATGAAGAAAAAAAAAAAACAACCAAAGAAAACAAAAGAGAGAAAAGAAAAAAATGTCCACTTCACGGGGTGTCTCTGCTTTCACTAGTAGACGGTGTGGGCAGAGTCCAGATCTGTGCTGATTAAGCCAAGAGAGCCATCAGTAGCTTCCCAGTGGGGCAGTGGGAAATCCCTACAGCCCTGCGCCTTTATTTCCACTGAAGTTCAGATTCTGATCACGAGGCTGGAGCCGCGCCTGTTTACCCTGAAGCACTCCATGTGCCTCACGTTTGTTTGTAGGAGCAGCAGTTGCTCTGCTTCTGAGATCAGTTGGCCTCTACAAGCAGCCCCTGCTCAGTTGCCCTTCTGGGAGAGATCTGAACCTGGGTGTCTCACCAGCCGCTGCAGTCTGCTGCATCCTCCACTCTGTTCCATTTGTTCCGTCCTCCACTCTGTTCCCTCCACTCTGGTGCATTTCTCTGCAGGGGCCTCTGGGGTTCCCAGTGTCACTGTGCGTGTGCTGTTCTGAGCCGCCCCTCCCAGGGAGTGAGTCCACACTCAGGTAGAAAGCGCCACCTGCCACCTCCTCCTTTGTTGAAGTTGCTCTCCTTGTTCGCCCTGCAGGCTGCAGTTGTCCCTTTAGGCCCTCCCTGGGTCCCAGGACCCGCTTCCCTCTTTATTGTCTTCATGTTACTGTGTTGTAGTTCTGGACATCAAATCCCAGACAGGCCCTTCTGCTGCTCACTGCTCTGCTGTCTTCCTCACTGCTTTCCAGATGTGGATTCATTTTTCTTCGTGGAATCCAAGAAATCACATATCATGCCCAACCCAGTTGTCTTTCCACTACCAAGATAAATCCAAGTACAACAGTGACATCTGGGGCGAGGTGGAACATGTCTGTGACCCCAGCACTCAGGGGACTAAGGCAGGAGGATCACTGTGAGTCTGAGGCCAGCCTGAACTACACAGCAAAACCCTGTGTCAAAATGACCAAAAAAAAAATTTTTTTAAAGACATCTGATGTACATTTCAGCGAGTTTTTCCTAATTTCTGTCTTAGGTACTGTTCCTTTCCCAGGGCAAAGGACATCAATGACCATTTACATCCTGAGAAGCAGTTAGTTGGTCTGGATAGTTTCTTGCCAGTCTAGATAGTTACTGTCATTCATGATGGAGGCAGAGCCTCAGAGAAGAAAAGTGCTTGAAGTTGTCCTTTCAAGGACATTGTCACAAGCCAGCTGTGGTAGTCACCCTTCTAATCCCAGCACTGAGGAGGCTGATGCAGGAGAATTGCAGGGTCGTGCATAGCCAGAGAAACTTAGCAAGACCCTGTCTGAAAATGAAAAACTATTAAGGGAGGTGAATGCAGCTCAGGGCAAAGGTCCTGGGTTCAGCCACCAGTACTGCAAGCAGAAGAGCTCGTGAGAGACAGACAGACACAGGACAGAGGGAGCGCAGCTGAGACCAGTCCCTGTACTCCAACCTGTTGCCCAATCTCGGTTTTCTTTATAGAACTGAATCATCACCTAAATTACACAGCTTTCTTTTTAATTTTGTTGATTTTTAATCCTATTAGAGTGTAAGTCTTGAGACTGCAGCAAATTTTTTTTATTCCCCACTGTGTGTCTGAGACTGGCGATGACACCTGGCACATTGCAGATGCCCACCAAGTAGCTTTCAATCACTGAACAATCAATGAGGACAGCACTGGGTCAGTCAAGGAGCACAGGACAGACGCCACGACAAGCAACATAGTATAGGCCCAAGCAAGAGCCTCCAAGAGGAGCGAACCCGGGTGACAGAATGTTCACTTTTCATGACGGCTCTGCTGTCTCTGATTGAACCATGGGCACGGGCTGGGCTTGCTCAGTCGGGGGTGTGTGCTTAGCATGCACAAGATTAGGTTTGATCCCTAGCACCAGAAAGAAAGCAAAAATAAATAGAGAAAAGATTGACACAGCAGGTTACCAGGTACCTCTTGTGCTGATTTTATGAGGACCAAGCAACCCTCTGGCCATCTGGTTTCCATGTCATCTGCTCACAGGCAAGGGGTGCTCCGAGGTGCTCCATCCTCCCTGGTCCTGGGCGTCTTGCTGTGAGCCTCTCTGCATGTGTCCATGAGGACTGACAGGGCCTGCTGGACTGAGGCCAGACACAGAGGACACTCTGCTTAGGAGAGCTGGTGATGGGGACAACGCCCACGCCAGTGCAGGCACACAGCAAGGCTGTGGGAAGTGGCAGTGAGACCTGGGCACTGCACAGCCCCACAGCTGCCGCCACCCTGTGATCACATGCACAGAGCAGCACAGCTCTGCTCTCCCCAGAATTCGGAAATTCCTGGGAAGGTGCCAATTGGCTGAATCACTGGACCAGTTGCACCCAGACTGATCCACAGTGGTCAGGAGGCTGAGGTCTAGAAGAGCAAGGCAGTTTCCATAGTGGACACTGGTAGGGGAGGGGGCTGTCCAACAGAAGGGGGAGATGCCCCCCAGAAGGTAGGGAGACAGCTGCAGATTAACCGAGGTTGGACATGGCGCTGGGTGGACAGAGCAGGTTTTCACTCTCGGATGTGAGATCCTCCAGGCTGAGTCTGTTTTAGGGGCCCCTGCACAGCAAGTCACACTCAGCAGTAGAGGATCAGGATGAAAGTCACAAAAATATTTCCGAAGAACTTTCAAGAAGTTGGCTCTTGGGCTGTGGATTTAGCTCAGTGGCTTAAGTACCTGCCTGGCAAGCATGAGGTCGTGAGTTCAATCCCCAGTACCAAAAAAAAAAAAAAAAAAAACAAAGAAAACCAAGAAGTTGGCTCTTAGCCCAGCAAGGGGGCACATGCCTGTGATCCTAGCACTCACAAGGCTGAGACAGGAGAGTGATGTGAGTTTGAGACCAACCTGCACTACAATGTGAGGTCAAGGTCAGCCTGAACTGATAGTGAGAGCCTGTTTTCCAAAACAAAACAAACAAAAAAACCCCTCAAGAAACAAGTTGGCTCTTGAGCTGGGTATGTTAGCATACACTTGTAATCCCAGCGCTTGGAGGCTGAGGCAGGAGGACCACTCTAAGTGTGGGGCCAGCCGGGCTACATGGTAGGACCCTATCTCAAAAAAAAAAAAATTGGCTCTCCCACGGCTGGCAGAATAGCTGGCAGCGTAGCATGTGTGCCAAGGGCACTGGAGGCCCTGAGTTCAGTGCCAGTGTCACAAGGAAAAAGGAGAGGGAAAAATATTTGATTCAAAAGTTGGCTGCCTGAGTGGAAAAAGGACACTGCTGAGCAAGTTATTCCAAAAAATATTTGTACTTAGCTCCTTCCCCCGACAGACAGATGCGAAAGCAGTGACACAGGAAGAGCTGTTACTGTACCTTCGATCTAGACGCCCCGCAGAGGCCTGCGTCCTGGGTCTCCTGCCGTGGAACGTGGTGGAGCCCTTGGGAAGTGGGACCAGAGGGAAGACAGCAGGTCATCAGAGGTGAGCCCCGGAAGCGGACCGGGACCCAGCTGTGCCCTCCGCTTCTTTCCTCTCTTCTCTCCTCCTCTGCCTCCTCCCTTCTCGCCTGTCGGCTTCCCTCCCTCCCCCACTCTCATTACTTCCTGGCTCCCATGGTGTGAGCAGCTGCTTCTATCTGCTTCTATCTCTGCCGTGCAAGGTTCTGCCTCACTGCAGGCCCAAGGCAACAGGGCCAACCAGCCACAGACTGAAACCTCTGAAAACAGGCACCAAAGTAAAACCTTCCTTCTTTCAATTTGTTACCTCAGTTATTTCATTATAGGAAAAGCAAGCTGATAAATGCAACTATGGAAATATTTTATTTTGTTTTTTCTCCTCCTTGGGTGTGTTTTAGATGTACGCTATTGTGAGACTAGGGATTTGTGTGAGTAGAGAGGAGCCAGAAAGGCCCTCAGCTGCCAGGCTTTGAATCCTGGGGTTTCTGTTTTGGAGCCGGTAAGTGCACTCCTCATTCCCACTGCCATCACCTCTGCCAGTGTAGTGCATAAGCAGGGTTCAAGAGGAAAAGAGAAGATGCAGCCCCTCCCTGAAGCGCTAGCAATGCCTTGAGCACTTCCTGGCGAGTGCCTGTCAAAGGATAAAGAGCCAACATCAACCAATGCACATGCTGAACAGCTGAGCTGAGCTCCAGACAGGGAGGGAGGGAAGCTCCGTGCTCAAAGAAGGCCCTCCCTCCTCGGGAAGCAATTCCACACCCTGCTACAATGCCCCTTCGGCAGCAGATACTTAACTCTAAGTCATAACTGTACCGTGAAGAAATTTCCAATATATTCCTTGAGGAAGCACAAAACAAAACGCGTACTCCTTTTGATACAGATAACCACACAGATCTATAAACAAAGACAGCATAGGACAGGTGAGGGTCCAAGTTTCATTTAGCAGCAATTGCATATCCTCAAAAGCCAGGGTTCAAACTGACACTAATGCCACATCACTGCCACAGAATAATGGAGACAAAAGGACAAAATGCAAGGAGAAAGATAAAAGGATCTTGCAAAACCACCTGCAGTGGCGCTGTGGCGAATTTAAAGCCGCCAAAAGTTCCACAAGATGGCACTGCTGCTTTTCCAAACATTTCTCTTTCTCAGGCGTTGTGTGATCCTTAACAGAAAAAATAAGCACATGGTGAGAAAGATACACAGTAAATTGCTGAACATGTCAGGATTACTGGAAAGGAAATCTGGTTGGGGCTTTACGCTGTTGGGTCTTAGCTAAACATTTGCCAGCTTTTAAAAAAGCACAATGCTTTACCACGGTTCCCATCAGCACACGTCACCTGTGTTTGGTTTCCTGGGTGGGGAAGGAAATTAAACACTGGGGTCTCTGGGCAACGCCTTTTACAGGTGAGGTTATTGCTTCAAGATCATCAATACCAAGTCTTTACTGAAATCTACTCTGTCCACGCATTCTGCTGGGGGCCACTTTTCATTCTTTCCAAGAAGACAAATTTAGAGACAGTACTTTGCTTGTAACATCTGGATTGACATCATATTTAGAGGTATTCAATATTGGCAGAAAAATTTTAGTAACTCCTAGAAAATAAACCCTCTCCAAAACATGTTAATAATAGCTATTCCACTTTGCCGAATGTTGTGTGAGCTCTCCCCATTGAAAATTTTATCTGAAGAGGATTAAAGAATGGTCATTTCAGCATCATTTCAAATAATAAAAATTTAGAAATATCATGAATGCTGTGGACATGGATAATGCATTGGGTTGTAATTCGTACTTGTACAGTGGGCTGGGAATGGAGGAAAACTAAATTAAATTACACGGAGTTGCTGCTTCACTGAACTGCTGGCCCTCTGTTCCACCCTCGACTTGGTTATTCCCGGTCAGGGACCCACTCGCCCAGCTCGCCCAGCTCCTTGGGGGCCGTAGAAGAAGGTGGCCAGTGGGGGGGAGCTTCGCCTTGTGTCCAGTGAGGTCAGCAGATTTCTGTCAAAGGCACGGCTTTCATTCCCGCAGCCCTCGGTACCAGTCTCCGGATATTTGTTTTTTCCCTCCCAGAACCAGCCTCATTGTGCACCCTCCTCACCCTCCCTGCCCTGGCTCTGCACCAGCCTACGCATGCCACACACACACACCCCAGCCTCCAGACTTCAAAGCCCCAGCCTCCTCTCCTGTGCCAGCCCTGGCTCTGAGTGGGAGCTGCTTCCTGGCACTGAGTGGTAGCTGCTTCCTGCAGTCCACCTCGCTGTCCTCTCTGATTTTTAAGTTCCCCAACACCTATTTAACCAACTCCTTCTAGTGCGTTTTCTCCTTCATGTAGAGTGACCGCCACCATGAGCATGTGCCAAGAAACATAGCTACATGTGGGTCACACGGACGGATAGATAGAAGCACACATGTAGAGCCACATGATCGTAGGCAGCTAAGATACAAAATAATTTATGTAAGAGGGATTGGGTCTCCAAGGAAGTCAGTGCAACAAACAGACATCAAGCTTGTAGCTGTAGGTGTAAGATGGAGATGCAACAGCCAGGCCAACAGACCTTCCTGAGAGATATACACTGAACTGAGATGGTGCTGTACTGCGCATTCCCTGGTCAAGGGAGTCCAGATGGGCACCAGTCTCCCGGGTCAGTACCCAGAGCACCAGACTCGTCCCTCCCCCTAAGTGCCTTCGAACGTCCGTCCGTGCCCTCCTGCTGTGTGTCTCATTTCCCCAGTGGGTCCATGCCGATAGTCCTGTTTCATGGCCTGTTTGACAGCTGTTTTGGCTTAGGAAACGTGTGACCCTCTCTTTAGACGTATGACCAGCCTTTTTTACGTGCACATTTTATATGTCTTGTCTTTTGAGCCTTGGTATGTTTTTTGTACGGTACACCTTGTTTACACAGTAGTGTAAGTTTTGCTGATTGTACTGTGCAGTACAGTGCTCTAGTTTTATGTTCAGTTATACATTACAGGACTGCATAGAGGAGTCAGCAAGCTGAGGCGTTCCCTTTGACCATTCTTCTTTCTGAATGTTGTAATGGTGTCCAGCTATCCCGCCCTGACTGTACCCAATCTCATCTGAATACGGAAATGTACACACTGAATACAGTACTCCTTTAGTGACCAATTCATTTAATGACCTGATCAAGGAGTGGAACTTGGCTGATAGACGAGGACTGTCTGTATTCACTAAGTGGTGATGTTGTAATCCTATGGGTTGATTGTTGACTGCAGTCTGACCCATAATGCACCCACCTTGTGACTCTGCAGTATAAATTACCCCTGACAAAAGGCCTTGGGCCACTCTCTTGGGGCTCTGCCTGCCTCTTTCAAGGAGCCTTCTCTTACTAAACCTTTCCTACTTTTTTTTTTTTTTCATTTTTTTTATCGGTACCGGGGATTGAACTCACGACTGCCTGCTTGCAAGGCAGGCGTTTATTCCGCTGAGCTAAATCCCCAGCCCCACCTTTCCTACTTTCAAGACCCACTGTCCCCTGGAATTCATTCTTGGGGGACTTGAACCCAGTATATTTGACATCTAACAGTCAGAAGTTACATTTCTCCTATATCAATATTAGAATATATGCAAGTATGCATAGAAAAGCATATATGTATACATATGCCTATATATTTCTTACATGTAGTATATTTGACCCCATATACACATATATCATAAAACTGAAACTTAATCCTCACAATATTATAAGCAAGATACCATTATTCTCTTATATAGGAGACTATATATTATATTATATATATTATATATTATATAGGAGTCTATTATATTATGCAGCTAAAAAGTGATAAAGCTGGGATTTGAACCCATCATCCCTGACTCCACCATCTGTATTTTTTCCACCGTGCCCTTCATGTTGCTCACACCTTCGTTTTGCTGGGCTGATCGGTTCCCCACATGTGTCAGTGCGTGGGAAGTCTGAACCCAGCATGAAATGCTGGGAGGTGGCGGCCCCCGGCAGAGTTGGCTGCTCACAGGAACACAATCTCAGAAAGAAGGAAGTAAGTTCTCAGGGTCACTAAGTTCTCACCAGACCGAGTTGTAAGACAGTGCCTGGCCTCCAAGTTATTCTCTGGCTTCGTGTCTAGCCATGACCCAAGCAGCTCTTACGGTTCCCAGGGTGAAGAACCATGAAAGGACGAAAAAATAAAGAAGAGACAAAAGCTGGGGTCAGTAGAGCCCTCTCTCCTGATGGGAGGGAACTGCCCATCATTGTAGGGGTGTTTATTTATACATTTAGCAACTTAATGTCCAATGACACCCTGCTGCCTAGTAATCTGCAATGAATGGCAATTTAAGGGCCTGATTTGGGGACCCAGAGTCACTGGTTCCTGCAGCTCGCCTCAGGCAGATCTTTTTTCTCAGACCAGCTGGCCGGCTCCCACAGGTGTGGGAATTTCCAGTTCAGTGGCTCCCTATACCATCTGGCCATGTAACCACATCGTCTCATGTGCACTCCTGCTCTGATGCCACCACCCCATCTTGGGCTTTCAGTCTCCAGACCTGCAGGCTAAGTAACCCTCTTTAACTGGGAAGAGTGGTGCTGGGCGGCAAACACAAGGCCTTGTGCTTGTTTAGCAACTGCTCTGCCACTGAGTTGCACCCCCAGCCTCTAAAGCTCTTTACAAATGACCCAGCTCCATGTATTTCATTACAGCAACTGAAAACAAACTGGTACAGATTCCAAAGTCAACTTATCCCCAATTGTCTTGATAGCACGGCAGGAGGTTCTAGGTTCTATCCCAGTACCACAAAATGAAACAAAATAGTGTCCTACAGCATAATCCAACCCCTAGACCTTGCTTTTCTTTTCTTTCTTTCTTTCTTTCTTTTTTTCTTTCTTTTCTTTTCTTTGTTTCTGGATTTACATTGTAAATATAACATGACAACATTGCAATAATAGGTAGAGAGCTCAACCAATCATATTCAAGACTGCTTCCATGATTGAAGAACTGAGGGAACTTCAGGGAAAGCATGAGCATCCCCAGTTTCAATGTATTCATCACCCATTGACTCAGTTACTGTTATATAGTACCTTTCATATGCCAGGGTTACAATGTAACTAGTCTCTCCTTTAAGAAGCTTATGCTTAGCCAGAAGATTGCAGCAGGAGGATCACTGGTAGTTTGATAGCCTGGGCTATCAATGTAAAATAGGGAAAGTGACTATTTTTAATGAATAATCATACTCAGAAGCACCCGGGGAGGTCTTATAGGAGTTTGGCAAGACAGGATATGTGACTGCAAGCATTGTCCAAATGCAGCACCCCAGTCTTGCCCTCCATACCTGCCCCTCCACCCTGTCCAGGGTGCATTTCCACTCTGCCTCTGCTTAGCAGGAAGCTGCAAGTTCTCAGTCCAAAGTGATCTTACGAAGCCACCACAGCGATGAAGCCAGGGTGGGCAGCTCCGAGTTTCCCAGACACCCGCCCCCTCTGATTACTGATGTCCTTACCTCTCGAATGACAGGCAGCCTCAATCAACATTTCCCCCGTAGCCTAGGATGAGCCACAGAATCCAGACTGTCCCTGTGGGCTAAATGCGGTCAATAGCGCATGAGTGGACCGGTTGATGAACCATGGCGAGGAAGTGTTCCGGAGACCAGATTCCCAGAAATGCAGAAGCCACAAATCTACCCAAACCAGAAAGTCAGGTACCCAGAGGTAAGTCTGCCAAGTCTCTGAACTGCCATTCTGGCCGCTTTCCCCCAGGTAGGAAGCAGTCCATTAGACAACCATGCAGCAAGAGAGGAGGAGGAAAAGAATAAAAGGAGCTCACTGCAGTCAAGGTCCACTGGAGGACACTGCAGGCCACAGGAGGGATTTCACAGAGAAACGCAATCCTGGCAGGATCTCCGAGCTCCTCTTCTTAAATGTGTGTATTAGTACTGGAAAGGCTGAACAGATTTCTCCAGGGCATGGAATTCAGCTCCTCTCCCTTTGAGTATAGCTGGGCTTAACGGCCTTATCCTAATGAACAAGGTAGGGAAAATCTGTAACATCAAGGTGGAGACCGCGCCTTAACCAAGGGATCAAGGTTAAGCAAGAAGCAACCGAGACTTCAGGAAGAGGCTGCCTTGGCCCAGGGATGCAGGGTAACACCGGGTGCTTTCTTTCTAGGCCTCGGACCAGTACTTTTCCGAAGTGTTTTTCTATGCAAAACTGTTACAGGCTACTGAGTTAGATAGAAATATTCCAGGCAGACAGATAGGGCTGGGCCCTCAAAGGAGCCAGTGCAGAAGGCCAGATGCCCTGCAGCTGTGGGGCAGACCGGTGCCTCCCGCTGTAGGCTAGGCTCATGACAAAAAACTAAGCAAATACACCCACATCCTAAGGGTTGATATTCTCAATAGTTCTCCGTCACTCTGAGGAAGCAGGAGTCACCATCCCAAACCCCTTCTGAGAAAAGTCACTGCTGTCTAAGAACGCCCACTATGTGACTCACTTCCCCATTTGTTCCACTTTAATCAGTTTTACCTGAGCAATTCATCTTATTGGTTGACCACAGTTCTGTCCCACTTCATGCCCACTCTGCGAATTCCCATTTTGGCCCCACCCCACCTTGTGGTTTTGCTCTACAAAAGTCCCTTTAAAAGGCAGTCTTTGACAACCCACTTGGGACCCTTCTCTCTCAGACAGAAGCTTTCTTTCTCTCAATAAATATATTCTGCTCTTAACCTCCTTTGTTCCTAAAACTCATCTTTGATTTTACTGAACATGAACTCACACTGGACATCTAATAGGTTGTGAGTTTCGTTCCCCTATACCAAATCCCGGGAAGACTGAAAACCAGCAGCTACCAACAGGCGCACAAGAGATCTGCCAGCCACACACCGTGTGAGATCTGAGGAGGGTAAAAGGGTTTGCGGAGGTCGCGGCAGCGCTGGTGCAGACTACTTGGAGCCTGTAGTTTAGTTAATATTATTGTACTTGGTTAATGTCTCAATTCTGCTAAATACATCATGGCTAAGTAAGATGATACTTTGGGGGTCCCCGGGGGAGGCTCTACAGAAACTCTGCACTAGTTTTCTAGCTCTTCTATAAGCCTAAAATTTTAAAATATAAAAACATTTTAAAAGGGGGAAAAACCAGCATAAACTGGGACCTATCTCTACTAGCACATGTTGTATTTTTGCTGTGTAAATAACAGAAGTTAAGGATGTTACTTTTACATTCAGCAAAGTCACGGTTTGGAGATGAGAGATTCCAGGAAATTCTAGGAGAGCCAGGGGGAAGAGGAGGGGCGGATGCTGGGGTTGTCCAGGGGAGCAGCTGAGTGGAGCTGCAGAGGGTGAGACCAGGGGAGGCAATGGGCAGGCCCCGGGCCAGCCTGGGAGGCAGGGTGGCCGTGGCCCTGAGGCCCGAGTAGTGAGCAGCAGGCTGCAGGCTCTTTGCAGTCATGATAAACATCAGTGTGTCAAGCAAGTTGGGTTTTCTAAGAGTCCTCTCATTGTGGAAAGCAGAACAGAAAACTCAACAGCACACAGCCAAGGGCAGGTGATCAGACTGTGGCCGGAGGCCTGAAGCACGGCCTAGAGGAACGCACCGTGGGCACACAGGAAGCACTGCCCCCCAGAAAGGGGGGAAAGCCACCCCCTGGCCAGCAGCAAGGCCTCTACTAGGTATCCCCCCGCCTCCTCTCCAGTCCTCCCAGCTGCGTGGGGCAGGAGACTAGTCACCTAGGTCATCCCGACCTGGTGGCACTGTAGGTCTCTGCAGATTCCTTGACCCATAAAGAGAGTAAGAAGCATTTCCTTCTTATCCATGGCCCCATGCAGGCCAGGCAAGGGCTACTTGCCCTCACCACTGATCTACACCCTCTGCCCCCCACAGAATTCTTTGATGGCCTGTTTCCAGGAAGTGGGGGTCAGATAAACCTTGTTCTACTTCCTTAGCTGCAGAAGTGCCACACTCTGGGTTCCTGAACCCCATCGGTAGAAACAGGGAAACACAAGTTTGTTCTCATGCTGGGCACAGACTCGACCACAGAGGCCACCCACAGCCCTCAGGATTTCAGCCACTGCCCATGCTTCAGTGGTTTGAAATACTCAAAGCATGTGATAAAGCCTCCCTCACTTTAGAGGAAGTTACTGTGTAGGCCGCTGGGCTGAGTTCCTCTTGTGCAGTACCCATATTAGAATTTGCCTATAGAGTTTTTATTTATTTATTTTGGTACTGGGACTTAAACTCAGGATTTCCCAGTCAGGCACTTGTGCCACTGAGCTATGTCCCCAGCCTGAGTTTCAGTTTAACATCATTTTTGAAGAATTTTGTGTGTGTGGGTGCCCAGGGTAAACCAAGCGCTTTTCCATGAGCTACACCCTCAACTATTGGAAAGACTTCTAAATAGCTGTTTTTCAAATTCACTCGCTTTTCATTTTCTTCTATTAGTTTCACATTTTCATGTTCTTTTTAGGTGTAATTTATTCCTTCTACTTACCTCTTTGGACACGCATGCCAAATCGTTTTTATAAATCTCTGTCAGGACCCAGGACCATAGGATTATGGGGCACTCAGGAGGCTGAGGCAGGAGGATTGCTGTGAGGTCAGGCCAGCCTAAACTACAAGGTGAGTTCAAGGACAGCTGCAGCTACATTGTGGGACCCCGTCAGACTGCTTCCCACATTTTATGTGAATTCAAGTTCTGATTATTGATGTTTATTTGAATTCCTTTTTAGTATTAGATTTTTTGTATGCTTTAGAATTATGATTTAATTTTTAAAACTTGTTTTTTTCTTCATCAGTCTTTTCGAACTACATCTCTGATTTCCATAACCCTAAAGGCTTTTATAGCTGCCTCTATTTGCCCCTGGTCCTCTCAGGTCCTCAGAGCAGAGATAGAATATAAAATAGTAGAAGTTCCTGACAGGTAATTATATCAGGGAGGCCAGAAATGAGTCACCAGGCCCACTGGCAGCTTGCCTCCTCCTGGGTCAGGAGCCTGCTCCCTTCCAGTCTCCAGGAAAAGCCATGCTCTTGCAGATCAATCAGCTTGATCGCTCTGTCTCCTTTGTCGAGGGATGGCATCTGTGGTTCAGGTACAAGTTTGTGGTGGCCTGAACCAGGCTGGCAGCAAGGGGAGGTGATAAGAAAGCTGCTTCTAACTCATAACAGCTTTGCTGACCTTGTTCCTAGAAGCATGGATGGTAAATGTAATGCATGCTCTTGAGGGAGAGACTAGCAGCGACCAGGCTTGCATAAATGCAGCATGGTGCGGGCAGAGAGCAGTAAGACAATCTGCACTGACCAAAGGGAAGTGAGTCCCTTTTACAAGGATGGAAAGAAGGCAGGGGCCATTGGGCAGGAATAATAATAATAATAATAATAATAATAATAAACATATGCTCTGGTTGTGTCTGACCTCATTGGACAAAGTCCTTGCAGTGTCCAGTGTAAACTTTCAGGTGTCTCCAGATGTCCCCAGACTTCCAGGGACCTGCAAAATTCCCTGTCTTTTCTTATCTCCTTTCTGACGCCTTGTGCTTGCTGATGACAGCCATGGTGCTGAACTGAGTTCCCTGCTGAGAACAGTGGCTCTGGGGGCAAGCAGGTTGGGAGTTGGGAGAGTCGGGCTGGACTGGAGCCTTACAGTAAATAAAAACAGAAAACCAGAAAGACAACTCAGCCCTCATCGCAACCACTATGTTCCCTACCCTCCAAAAAAGGGAACAGAAAAACGTCTAGACCTTCTTCTAATTCGTTCTCACCGCAGCCAGAATGTTACGGCTAGCCACAACTGTCCTAAGATGTAATTCTGCTCCCAGCACCGCCTTTAAGAAATTCGCTGTTGTCACAATCATTAGCAGAGATGGAGGGAAATCACTTGCCCAACCTGGAAAGGGAAAGGAAGGAAGGAAGGGGTTTAGGACACTGGCTCCCACAGCTCAGGAACTGCAGAAATATTCCCAAAAGAATGAAATGTACTACCTCCCTCAAAATGTGTCTTAGTTACTTTTCTCAAGTTAGGGAAGGAAAAGGTTACTGTCACAGTTTGTATAGGTTTTAATTCACAGTCAGCTGGCTCTAAAGTAGGGCAGCGTGGCAAAGGGGCATCACGGGGGAAAAACCATCCATGGCAGGGCAGCCAGGAAGCAGCAATAGCAAGCAGCTATCAAATGCCTTCTTCCTGTCTTTATAATCCACTTATGCAGTAGGCTATGTGCCCTCTGGGGGATATCATCCAGATCCACAGTGGGGCACCTTTAATCCCAGCATCACACCCTAGATCCAGAGGGCTCTGAAAAGCCCCATCTGTGAGTGCGGGAGTGCTTTGGGAGGGCATCTAGATAAAAGCTGTAACATGTGCCTTCACTGGACTGGCTTTAAGACAAGGAAAGAGATCAGAACCATTTTCCAGAGTCAATAGATTACATGAACAAGTGGCAGTCATTTAGAAATCAGAAATTAATGTGATCAGGTTGGTGACTGATAGGAAAAACAGCTGGACAGCAACAGGAACCTTCAAAATGTCTACTTGGCAATCACTTGGTAATATTCCCTACCTTCACGGCACAGCGGGGGAAACAGGATGTCTAGGAAACGTTCACTATCAAGAACCTTATACGGTGGTAGGCAAGGGGTCTCCTCCAATTAGAATCAAAACTCTGCGTTGTGGGTGTGGTGTCACGCTCTTCGAACCAGTAACTTAGCGGTGGCCTTACTGAGAAACACAGTTTTGACTGATGTAACTAGTGAAGACGAGGGCAGGCAGCAGGGCCAACTCTTAATCCAATATGAGAAGAGGCACAGACAGACACAGGAAAGAAGCCAGATGACAGGGGAGGCAGAGGCTGGAGTGATGCAGTGGAGAGTCAAAGACATGGCCACTGAGAAAGGCTAGGAAGAGCAAGGAAGAATTTCCTGCAGCTCTCAGAGGGCGCTGGGCTTGCCAACGCCCCGATTTAGCACTTCTGGCTCCAGAACCATGAGACAGTAGGTTTCTGGTGTTTTAAGCCCACAGTTTGTGGTGCTCTGGTGTAGCAGCCCTAGAAAAGTAATATTATAGTTAATTTTATAGATAGTGTCAAAAGCAAAATGGCATGGCAAACAGAAATCATGTCCAGCTAACATGGTTTGTAGAGGATGTGGTATGTGTGTTGAGATTTTGGAAGCACAACTCTGATACACACAGATGGCCAGAAGAAAAGAGAGTTGTATGTTCTTCTATAACAACCCAAACTCCATCTTTCTAATCCGTCTCTCTGGAAAACAAGTTGAAATCTACCCACCCAAATGCCCAGAACCTAGTGTCAACTTTGGCACTGACAAGATTTCTAAGGAGTAAAATTGGGGAGAACAGAACGTTTTACACAGGCTTTATTACTGCAAGCAGTAGCATACTGTGGCTAAGTAATTACTATTTGCTCTTCCTATCGCCACGTTACAGTATAAAAATGGGGCGCCTGCTGGGGACATCATCGAGCAGTAACAGATTAAAATCCCAGTTTAACCCCAAGGCAGCAGGCACTGGCAGGAGAATGCAGTCTGAGCTGGGTATTGCTGTGCGCGCATGCCCCATGCCCCTCATCTCAACTCTGGAGGGCTGAGACAGGAGGACCCTAAGTTCGAGCTCAAGTTGGGCAATTTGGCCAGTCTCTGCCTCAAAATCAAAAAAGGGCTGGCGATACAGCTCGGGTGTGAAGGAATTACTCTGCCTGGAATTATTTCTAATGTCTTTGACCTCGTATTATGATGTCTTCAGAGTGATGCTTCTAGGTTCTACTGCGATTACAGTTATTGCTTAGCAATCTCCAACTGTAAATTAATCGTTGAAATTCTGGCAGCTGTTTTGGGGAGGGGGCGGGCAAAGAACCATTTACACACTTCCATTCCCACGACTGAACCTTCAAACTGGGCTCTACCTCAAACGTGAACTCTCCACGCCTTCCACCCAAAATCACTGGCACTCACCTGTTCATCTAAAAAGAACAGAGGCAGGGCTGGAAATTCACAGCAAGAGCCTGAGGACCCTACACACTGCGCTCCCCGGCCAGGGCCAGGACGGTGCCCCAGTAGTTAGCGCCCCGCAGACCATGGGGGTGCTGTGCGGGCACGCTGATTTTCAGGCATCTCCTTCTCTGCCCTGGCCATCCACCCACAAAAGCCATCCCTTGCCCCCTCAGCAAGGGGACTTCTGCCTAGCGGGTGCCCCAAGCCCCAGCCGCCCCCCACTTCTCTCCCCGCTTCCTCCCGCCCCGAGCCTGATCCCCCTAGGTCACCCCGGCCCACCCCGCCCTCGCGGAAGCCCCGCCCCACCCGCGGAAGCCCCGCCCTCCCGCCCGCGCACTACGGCGGGCTGCGGCGGGGCGCGGGGGGAGGGGGTGGGATGGGGGACGAGGGCTGGGCCGGGCCGCGAGCCCAGCGGGGCGGGGCCACCGGGGAGCCGTGGACCTTCGTCCCGAACAGCTCCTCCTCAGACGCGGAAGAGCCGAGCGAGGAGCCGCCGGAGGCCTGGGGCGGCCCCGAGCCGTGGGGCACGGAGCTGGGCCTTCGCCCGCGGAACATGGCGCCCTGGACGCTGTGGCGCTGCTGCCAGCGCGTGGTGGGCTGGGTGCCGGTGCTCTTCATCGCCTTCGTGGTGGCCTGGTCCTACTACGCCTACGTGGTGGAGCTGTGCGTGTGTGAGTACCGGGCGGCGGCGGGGGCCGGGGCCGGCGCCAGGCCGCGCTTCCGGGAGGGCGTCCGCGTGCGGCGGGGCGGGGGGCTGGAGGCCCGGGAGGCGGGGTCCGCGTGCGGCGGTGGGGGTGCGGGGCCGGGGCCGGGAGGGCGGGGGGACCGGGGAGATCGGGGGGACGGGGACCGGGACCGGGGAGGCGGCTCCGGGTGCGGCGGGGCGGGGTGCGGGGCCTGGGGCGGGCAGCCAGGTGTGGGCTTCGAAACCCGGCCCGGCGGGCGGCCTGGACCTGACCCGTCTTGCGATTCCTCGGTTCCCAGTGCGGATCCTGTGTTTTTTTCGAGGCGGCTAGAGGACGGGAGGCAGGAGAGGGGAGGCCTCCGGCCCCAGGCCTCTCGTTTGGGCTGTCCGCGGTGCGGGTTTCGGCGTTCGACCCCTGTTCGGAGGGGTTTTCTGTGTTCGCCGCCCATTTCCGGTCGTGTTAATCGACCCTGTCGTCGTGGTTCCCAGGAATAAAGGACCAGCGTTGCCGTGCAGTTCAAGGATTTGACCTGCTGGTCTGGAAAGATCTTTAAAATTGAAGGAAATTGGTTGTGCAGGGAGCTGTCACTGTGTGTAGAATTGGCTCTACCTGAAGTGAATTGTCCATAGGCTTAGGCCAGCCTCCTCGGGCTTGTGTCATGTACGTCTGCTGCTTCTATTTTTATAAAAACCTAGGATCAAGTAGTGAGTGGTGTTGGTAAAAAGCAGCCCCTGGGCTGGGGATTTAGCTCAGTGGCTTAGGTGCTTCCCTAGTAAACACCAGGTAGTGAGGTCGATCCCCGGTACCAAAAAAAAAAAAAAAAAAAAAAAGCAGCCCCTTGGTATCCCAGAGTGCTCTAAGCTTAGTACTCAGATTGAACCCATAGTTCGCTGAAAGGATGATGCATACTTTCTGGAAAAGGAAGCATGTAAATATGAATTTCATGAATTTGAAGTAAGAGCTTTGGATTTGCACAGCTCTCAATCAAGTACTCGGTTAAAGCGGGAGTTGTGTAGATAAATCAGTGCTTTGGATGTAGAGGCTTAAGGGAAGGTCTTTAAAATAAAAATTTGCTTTTTTTCTGGGATTGAACCTCTGAAGAACTGAGCTAAGCGCTTAGCACCACCCCTTTTTAAAGTTTTGTTTTGAGGTCTTCCTAAATCAATAAATTGCCTAGGGTGGGCTCTTGTCTCATCTCCCGGAGTGGTGGGGTTACAGGAGTGAGCCGTAACACCCAACAGGACTAATCATACTTAACAAATTAACTTTATTATTTTTTGCAAGTGTCCACGATTAATTTGTCAGGGCGTACCTGCAAGTTGAGGATAGTTTTCCTCAAAATTAAATGTTCTAAGCAAAGTAAGCTGCATGTGGTTGTATGCATCTATAATCCCAGCATTTAGGGAGGTTCGAGGCCAATTTGAGTTACAAAGTGAGACCCCAAAAAACCATGTCTCATTCTTTTGTGTACCAAAATGTTTGCTTAATATAGTGTTTGAGTGTGTTAGAGCTGGTCAGATTTAGAAACTTCTTGAGGCTGTTTATGGAAAGTGGTAGATCACAGATTCTCATCAATTTATTATTATAATGTCTCTTGTTTACGAAGTGTGCATTTATTCCAAAAGCTATTTCTGTCAGAATTGATTTCTACCCTATTCTGATTTTTGTAATGGTTTTGAAGTAAAGCTTCTGAAGGAACACTAAAAATGTGTTCAGATTGTACAGTTTAACCTAGAGATGTCTTTGTTTGTAGAGTATCTACAGGGTGATTTCAAACAATGCTGTTTAAAGTCTTAAACTGTTTGTGATTTCTTCTGTCCTTTTAAATAGAGGGAAATGACCATGAGTTAGAAGTATTGTGTGCTAGTGGGATAGGCAGGATATTTCATTTCCTCTTTTGAATTCTCTCATTATCTCAGATATTTACAGATATGGGAGCTGAGACTTGATTAGGTTACATCAGGTCCAATGTTTGGCAATTTTAAAATAGTCATAAAGGCTCTACTTAATATTTCTACATTATCTGATCTTAACTTAGTGTTTTAATAAGTGAATATACCTTTATGCTCAACATTATAAAATCTAGTAACACTGTACACTTTCCAGATTCTCTAGAATCTTTTGATTAATGTATATTTGTATTTTCATAAGCACTGACTGTCCCATTGAAATATATAGATGCATAGCTTTTAAGAGGATTTTAAATTAAGAAGTAAATTTTCCTGGAAATGCTATTTTAATGATTCTTACAGATTATCTTAGTTTCGTATTCCTTATTAAAAACTAGAAAGAAAAGAGAATCAAGGTATGTTTTTATAGGTATGTATAAATCTGATATTCATGGTAACCCCTAAAATGTTATGTACTGTAGTTGCCTAGGGTGATTAAGCCAGTAAGTAGCATAACTCAAGTGATCTAGCTCCAGGGCCTGTATTTTTAAGGTTAACAACTGAGCAATGAATGACTAGTCTTCTTGGATATCCAAATCTGGAACTCAGGACAGATTTCAGTCTTATCTGTGTCTGTTTTTAAAATGTTATTTTCTCCTAAAAGGCAGCAGCAGAGATTCATAGATATCTCAGATCCACAGTAGGGGCTGAATCATTTGCTCTAATTGCAATCCAAGAGGCCTTCATCCCATTGCAGTCTCTGACTTCTTAATTTTGTTACTATACACATGCATCACCACCACCCCACTTTTCTGGGACAATAGGAGTATCACTTTAGAGAGGGGATAAGCAGAGAAGTTAAACAAGTAACCCTTGGCCCTTGGTTTTGAATTAGACTAAAATTCTCCTTTGGTTTTTCTTCCTCAAAGCTGTTATTTGAAAATACTAATTGAGTTATGAGTAAATTGAACAACTTTTCATCTTTAGTCAGTATGGTTATTTTTGAGGAACGATGCCAGGGTTTAACCAAAGTCAGGTCATGTTGAGCTGTTAATAGTAAATATACACCTCTTGGCATTTAGAAGATCTAATTTAGAATTGAATTTTTAAGGATGATATAATTCAGTGATGGAGAACCATTTAGAATTTAAGTGATAATAAACAGTCTGCTGGGGTAAGCGTGGCTTATGACCACTGACCTAACCCAGTCCCTTTTCTTTGCTTGTAAGGAGACTCACTGCTTAGAAGAGCTATATGGTTTGTCCAAGGATGAGTATGTCTTCTCTTTTCACAGATAGAAACACATATAGAGTGGAATTGTATTCTTCAAACACAACTTCACATTTATACTGAGACAAGAAACCACCATCATGGTGCCACTGTTGACAAAGTTGATTCTCCCAAGATTTTTTCCTTGGCTTTCTGAGACAGGGTCTCACTGGGGAGCCCAGGCTGGCCTCGTGCTCACTCACGTCACGCAGGCTGGCCTCTGTGCAGAGCGACCTGGTGCCTCATGGCCTCCTGAGTTCTGGGGTTAGAGATGTGGGCCATCCTGCTGGTTCCAAGTGTTCATTGATCTCACAGGAACTAGCATGATTGATTTCGCTCTGCTTTTCTTTTTTATTGATTTCTTCTCAGTCTTCATTTCCTCTCTTTAGTTTTGAACTTGCTTTGTTCTTTTTTCAATTTCTTAATGTGAAAATCAACATTAATGATTTAAACCGACACCTACAGATTTATCCTTAAATACTGCTTTACTCCTGTCTTACCAATTTTGATCTATTTTCATTTTTTGTTCAGGTTTCTTTTTCAGTACCGGGAATTGAACTCAGGATCTGATACTTGCTACTTAGGTGCTTGTGCCTCTGAGCTATGTCCCTAACTGAGATTCTTTTCTTTAAATCCATTTTATTCAAATATAAAAAGAAAGAAAAAGAAGGAAAAAAACCCCATCACAACAAAATTTAAAAGCATGTCCGTGGGGGCAACAATGGTACATACATTGCACACTGTCATCCCCAAATCATTCACTCAGAGCACAAGACATCTGCATTCAATTGTCCAAACAATACCAGCACAGATCTTTCTCCAGTGAACTCAGAAAAATCAGAAATATAACTATCTTAACTGGTCTGGGGATTTAGCACAGCGGCATAAGCACCTGCCTGGAAGGTGCGAGGTCATGAGTTTGATCCCTGGTACCAAAAAAAAAAAAAAAAAAAAGAAAAGGAAAGAAAGAAAAAAAAAAACTATCTTAACTATTTCTTATATGCATGTTTTTTTCCTTCAGCTTGTCATACTAATGAAACTGTGATATTTATATGTGTCTTATTTCACTAATGAGCATGTTCTTAAGGTGCATCCACTTATCTATAAAAGTGTTCAGTTTATCATTCTTTATGGCCGAGTAGTACTCTATTATATAAAAATACCACATCTGTTTTATCCCTTCTTCAGTCAAGGGGAATTAAGATTGTTTCCAAGATCTGGCTATTATAAACTGTGCTGCTGTAAACGTGGGTGCACATACATTACTGTGGTATGACGTTTTTAATTCCTTTGAGAAGGTACCTAGCAAGGGATAGCTGGGTCAAATGAGACCTCCAATCCTAGTTTTTTGAGGGATCTCCACAATGGTTGCACCAGTCTGCATTCCCACCAAGAGTGGAGAAAGGTTCCTTTTTCCCCACAGCCTCTCCAGCATTTATTATTGCTTGATTTCTTGATACTAGCCATTCTTTCTGGGGTGAGGTGGAATAGCAGTGTTGTTTTAATTTGTATTTCTCGAATGACCAGTGATGATGAACATTTTTCATGTATTTGCTGTTTGTATTTCATCTGAGAAGTGTGTATTCATTTCGGATACTCATAATAATCCTTTGTCTGAGGAGCAGCTGGCTAACATTTGCTCCCACACTGTGGGTTGTTTCTTCACTCTGTTGGTGGTTTCTCTTGCTGTGAAAAAGCTTTTCAATAGGATGAGATCCCATTTGTTGATTCTTTATGATACTTCCTGTGCAGTCTGGGTTTTATTCATAAATGCGTACACTAATGTATTCAAGAGTTTTACTTTCTCTGTCTTCCAGCAGATTTAAT